TAAACCACCTCCATCAGCGAATTAGATCAAACAGAAAACACACCTAAAATGAAGAAAACACCTGTTTTTTTCTTCTCCTGGATTAGGGAGTCACAGTAGTTCACAGAAAGGTCAAACCAACATACATAGCCAAAGCACAAGAGGGACAGGCAAGAGCAGGGAAGAAAAGAGCATCACCTCTCCCTTCCAGCAGCAGTGGCCAGCAGACCAACTCAGCTGCTCATGAAACCACAATCCAAGACCTCTCTGGACAACTCTACTTCTTGCACTCAACACAATGAGCCTTAAGCCTCTTGTTAAACTATCCTACTGCATCACTTAAGAGCCAACCAAAACAAAAAGATTTCTTGCATGCTTTCTATGCAGTATATCCAGAAAGATTTTCAATTAATAAAACTGTTTATCTGCAAGTTTCTCCTGAATCATTAAAAAATAAGCTCATAAAAGTATTAATCGTGTTCTTGTAGATGCAAAGATAATTTTTTCTGCCTTAAATTTTTTCTTCCCAAAAGAGGTAATTAAAATTCAAACAACAATAATACAGCAATAATAAATATATTTTATGTATTAATCCTATATGGAACAAATGGAATTGATACTAAAATGAGAAAAGAAAAAAATTTGGTTTATTTCTGAACTCCAATGTCTATATGGGTCACTAACACAGTGATAGACACAATGGCTTATCACAAACAACATTTTCCATAATAAGCCTCCATTTCAGTACAGCTTTCATCTGTTGATCACAAAAATCACATTTCTTTGTGTTTTTCTTGCTCTCTCCCATTTCTCCTCTTCCAGAGTTCCTTTGAACCAGAAGATTGATACACAAGAATGTAATAACTAAGGCAAAAAGAAAAATGAATAAAACTCATCAGATCCCACTATAACCAAGGACTTCTCTTGCCAAAGGAAAAGCTTTGCAAAAGTTTTAAGTGAAAGAATTGTTACAAGAGCCAGTAAAAGATTTCAGATGAAGTCTTAAATCCCTCAGCAAATCATGAGCCTAAAATTTAAACCAACTCACTACAAAATAGAAAGCTAATGCATTAAATATTTTTAAGTCCCAACCAACTAGGAAAGCACTTCCAATTCCTGCATAAGTGTATATGCAGCATGCTAATGCTTGGTCATTTGCACGTTCAGACACTACCAGGACTTCTGTATTTTTAATTAAAAGGTTCTTCTTCCCTATAGTTCTTCTAGCATATTACTCATATTCATTTTGAATTTAAAAAGTTACATGGCATTCCTTTATGTATCATATGTTCTCTGAGGATTAGCATGAAAAACACTAAGTATTTCCAGCTTTACTTGACAGGTACATGCTGATGCTGAAGAAAGGCTGTCAGACTGTGTATGCACAATTCAGACATGCACTGGAGACAAATGAAGTTCATGAACTGCTGTCCATAAGGGGAGCTGCTTGTCCACTGAACTACATCTTTCTGTTATTTTCAATTTAAAGTTATGAAAAGAGCATGTATGGTTCTTAGCTTTCAAAAGCACTACACAGCCAAAACCCTCTTGGAACCACTGGAATGCTCTGGATGCAAACTGGAATTGTTTCATGCATCTTTAACAACCTCACTGTGATGGGCCCTCAGTGTGCGCACACTCCACCCTGACTCCTCTTCAGTCTGACTTCTGTAACATACACCTCTTCCTTTTCCTTTTGAAATATGTGAGTTTCTTAGCCTTCTTGACTCCTTTCTCCCTCATTACCTGTTTCTCTAATAATTTTGTGGTCACACGCCAATCCCCCATTCGCTAGAAAACCTGTCAGGAGGCTTTTCCTGTGCTTGAAAATCTACTTTGCCCCTGGCTTGGCACATTTCAGCCAAGCTGCCTGGTGTTCTTTTTGCCATTATCAAGCAATCAACTGAACCAACTTTTGCCAAAACTGAGCATCAAACTTCTTTCCCAGGGGACGTTATGCTTTTTTTCTAACTCTGTATAATACATTTCAGCTGTCCATTGAAAGCAATATAATTAATAGCAAAATAGATAACTGTCACTTAAAAAAAAGCCAACACAAAAAACCCCAACCAAACAAAAATAAAACCAAGCACCTTTTCAACACTTTAATCAGCAAACAGAAGTCTGCATCTAGTGCACTCAGACTATTTGCCTCAGGCAAGCAAGACCTCTGCATGGTATGTCATCATTATTTTGTGCTTTAAAAACCATCAGTGGGCATGCTTCCTTAAAATAGCATAGAATATTGTTACCTGGAGATTACCTTCTGCCTCAGTCTGAAAATGTGTTAGAACCACTTGTGCATGAAGCAAAAAAAAAAAAAAAAAAAAAAAAAAAAAAAAAAAAAATCAGGCTGGATGCAATTTTCTTTACATACAAAATAAACAAATAATATTTTTTTCTTTTTCATAGGATGCCAATAAAAACTTTCCATTTACTGAGCATTGACTTTAAACATCTCCATAAATAATGTTTCCAGTATTTTACATCCCAAAATGCATTTCTATTCATGACCTAGTAATATTGAGTTTGTAATAGCCAAGACAATCTTATATCATTTGTAGTGAAAAAATTAAGCATTTTCTGAGTTAACTTCTAGGGTGTTTGAACAGAGGGATTCACAATAGCAGAAAGTAAAAACAAAAAAAAAAAAAAAAAAAAAAAAAAATCACCAGGACATCACAACAAAACTGAAGTTTATCAGTTGTACAACATCATGGTTAAGTTCCAATCGCATGCAATTACCCACATTTAAGTTTTTCATGAGCTCTTCAGTTAATATTTCAGCTTTTGCATCCTGGTAAGCAGAGGCTCCAGGCTAGGACACTGACCTTTTTTTGGCTCTCCAGGGGCATTTCCACAACACATGGACTGGGAAGCAGAACATGAACACATGTTCTGACCTCAAGGTATCTGGGGCATTATGCTCCTGCCATGTTCTGAGTCCATACCCCTGTGTGGCGCTGTGCACATCAAGTTGCCACAATTTGCCCAGAAAAAAGATTTGTCAACAACCACATAGATAGAATGATGAACCCAGCCTGGGCTTCTCACGAGAGCAGTCAGCACTTGAACCACTGGGAGAGCACAACAAGTTCAACAACTGAACTAACCTAACTTAGTGCCCCACTTTCAAAAGATACAAAAAATTAAAATATGTTATAAAAATTTAATTACGGGATAATTTTGCTCTCTCCCATTGGCTGCAGGCACTGAAATCTGGTATTCTGTAAGATTATTAGAAAACTAAAAATACTTGCATATTAAAAATAGTATGAAGATGAGAATTTTAAAAGAGACTCTTTTAGTGATATCTCTCCCATAAGATACTGTAAGAATGTTCTCACAAAAAAGTCTTTGCTAGAGGCAATTTCTCCTCCCTCTTGTTCTTCAACTAGCCTTCCAAAAATTCTTTCAAGTAATTAACACAATTAAAGGCACAATGATGAAAGCTACCTTAAAAAAAAAAACCAAAAAACCTAAACAAAACAAAACAAACAACAACAAAAAAAAACTAAAAAAAAAGGGGGAAAAAAGCTTAATGGCTGAACTCTTTACCTTACTTTATTTTGTGAATGTATCTTTTATTGTAACTTAAGACACTACAAAATATATTGCAGCTTGGCTACAGTAGTCACACATGGGAAAACACAATTTCGGTTTGTTACTCTCTCTTCTTCATAAATCAGTCCCGGGCTCAGTTTAAACACATGCCAAATATGACCTAAATGTATCACATCTTCAACAAGTAATCATACTTGGTTCAATCCCCGCAGCCCACAAGCCAACGATTAGGTTACCTTCTTGTAATTGTATCTAGTTATATACATACATGAGAAACAGTTTAAGCAAAGGGAATTCATACTGAGATCAGGATATGAAATTAATACCAATAAACCCGGCTCTGTATTTTGCACATTTTCTACAATATTTCACACATCCAGTTATCAGTGCCTTGTTTGGTTTTACATTAAATTTCTGTGGTCCTCAACAACCTCACAAAGCAATGTATTTCAATGGGTCCTAATCTTTCTCTTCCACGGCAGACAGGAAAATATGTTTTTGGTGATATCTTCTAACTGTCCAAGCTGATCCCTAAAATGCTAGACACAAACCAGAAATCAAAAGCAAAATAGCAGACTTGTTCAATGGAGCAGGATACAGACATGGAACAGCCTATTAGAGAATTATGCAGCAAATGTTATCCCTCTCCATTGCTAACATAGTAAAAGCTCCTCAGGGAACAGCTTAACTCACCTGTAACCTAATTTAAAATTTAAAGATTTAAAGCCTAAAGTAATTAATTAAAATAATTTAGATCTCTTGTGAAAGAATCATTCATCATTCACAGGGGAAGAATTTAAAATTCTTCACATCAACAAATGATGACGTTTTTGAGGTAATCTAATGCAAAACTCAATTTTAAAATAAAATCACATCAGATATGGAAATACAATAGGCTACCCACACCATAACAAGCCTGCAGGCTTCTGTCTTTTGTGTCTCAGTAGCAAAAATAAATATTCAACATTCTGTGAATTCATAAAAATAATAAAAGTGAAATTTAAAGCTAAAAGAGATCTAGCTCACTCTTTCTTTAACACTGTCTAGAGGTAGACTAGCTCTGAAATGTTTCTTTAGCACACAAATGAGGAAAGGGGTTTCCATTCTTGATATGGAAGTTTAAAAAACATCTCTAAATTATTCATAATAAAGCTAAGACTAAACATATATAAGGTCTGAGTATCTCCTGTCTTTAACAATACACATTTGAAATTATAAAAGATAAAACTTGCACAACATCACCCCCTGAACTAGAGGTTTTTTTGGTTGGGTGGGGTTTTTAAAGCATACAACCACACTCTCACAGATATTAGCAACACCTTCACAGGTTTCACATTTACATTACACTCCATAGCATGGCAACATTAATTCTATGTAGATTTAAACTACTAATTTGTCTTTAAACTTCAATGTATTTTCTTGTTTCTCTAATGCTTACATTTGTAAGAAGGGCTTACATTTGTTTGTCTCCAGATTGAACACATGGGGAACAAATCTTGAAGCAAAGACACTATACAACATCAGAGCCTTTTGCTTTTGAATGCCTTTGGAAGAAAAAGAAGATTGAAAATTGTTTCATGAGGATTAGTGACAGTAGTTGGTAAGCATTTCAGTTATTCATGAGCTTAAACAGATTTTCTTCACAATGTCAGGACAATGGTTCCTCCTCTCAGTAACACTCGCTGCTATGGTTCCTTGTCTACCACTCCTATTACTATAGCCATCAAAAATCAGGACAAAGGCTTAAATGGCAGATTTCCTAAGGCAAACCAGTGTGTACATAATTCCCAAACTGCTCAGCAGGACTTGTTTACCCAGAGCTCCATCACGTGAGAACATGAAAACAGCTTTCAATATTTAATATCTACATGCACACCAAGGTAATCTGAAGCTCTGGTACCACCCAAGGACAATATATTAATCCAAACTTGATATTTCTAGGAAGTTAATCACCTAGCAATTATAACAGAAGAAGGAAAACTTATTGCCATGAAGACACCTCAACTCCTAATTGCAATGCATATTCACATCTTAGCAGCTACCTGAAAATGTTTTCTCTAAATTAACTATTAGGAAGATGGTATAGAAAGAACACTGGGGACTGAGGATGAAACCTGTGAAAATTAGAAATCAAAGCCCTCAAATGAAAACATATTCAAAAGGAGCTAACTGCAGAACACTTGTGCAGGCAGAGCACAACAGCCCAACCCATTTCTGTGTCCACACTTTGAATCCCACATGGAGCTCTGTTGCTGACCACTTGCATTCAGTTATGGACACTGTGATTGTGAACTGCTTCCTTAAGAGAATAAGCCTGGCTCAGCCCCAAGGAGCAGCTCCTCTAGACCTGGATCACCATGCACATGGCAAGGAAGTGGAGGGATGAGGGATGCATGCTCCCACTGTGAATCTCACTGCTGCTCTGGGAAGCATCGGAACATTGTGCTGCAGGATGGCATCCACCAACAGTGCCATGTTTGCATTAATTAGAAAAAAAACCCAATCTCTTGAAGTTTCATTCAAGATTTTCAGCTACTAAAATTTAATCATTCCCTGACAAGCCCTGGTAAAAGACTTGGAGAGATTCAAGGGAACCCTTAAAGTCTTAGAAGTAGAAAAGCAATCAAGAAGGTGAATTTTCAGTCGCTGCTTTATTTGAAAATAAATTCAAACCAGGAAAAATTAACTTCAGCCCTCTCAAACTGTCACAGGAATGAGGATGACAAAAAAAAAGAAAGTATAACCTCACACATCCCCTCAAACAAAAACTGTGTGTTAGGACAAACTCCAGCCCTGTTCCCCCACAAAAATCCACAGGCAGAAATGTGATCCCAAGTTATTCACAAACAAACAAATAAGGCTATGTTTCTGTTGCTATAACATAACACACGGTACTTTTTTTTTTCCCTCTGATGTAATTCTTATAACATTATTTTGGAACCTGGCTATTTTAAACTTGGTTGCTACGACACGATGTAGTCATTACATGGATTCATTTCCTACTTTCCAACTGGCAAGACTACTTGTTTCAGTTTTATGAAGTTATATCATGGACAAAAGACACATAAAATATACTATAAATTCTAATAGTAGAAACTCCTTTAATGCCTTCCATTCCTTGAATAAAGGAAGGAGGACTGGAAGGAGGACTTCTCCCCACAATTACTCTAAAGGTCTCCATGGTTCTAGCTTTCTAAAGTTTTCTGAGCCTTATTTCTGAAAACAGTCTTTTCACATTATTACTCCTACTGAGAGACGACATCTGATTTCTTGCAGAGCCTCTCAATGCCTCCCATACTATCTAAACTTACAAATAATCAGAAAGTGACAATCTTCCAGTGGACAATAAAACATGGAATACAAATCCTCTCTGGTATTTCTGGTTTTAACAACTGGGGATGAAGAACAGATGATGAATTGGCCCATTAATGCTTCAGCATCACTTCCATGAGGCAACCATAAGGTTTGGAGAAGACTTGTTTTTCCTGTAGATTAATTTTTAATGGCTGAAATATAGTCATGCCAGACAGATCACATTCAGAAGCCAACTTGTAAAAAAAAAAACAAATAGGAACTTCATAATGTAGCATTAAAATCACCGAAATCGTTTTAAAATATGCACATAATATACCTTCATCTTCACAAACCACATTAAATAGCATTTAATGAAAGCATTTGGGAATCAGAGACTGAAAGGTCACTGGGATATAAACTTTACCCTTTTATAACAAGCATGAGCATCAGATGCATTGGTATATCAAAGGAACCTTTAATTTCTAGCTTATGAAAATATATGAATTTCCATAATAGAAAACCACAGCGGCTCTGTCATATTCAATCTCAAAGTTCAACACTAATTTAACAGGAAAACAATGGATCTTTAGGAGAAAAACCCCCACCCACTAACAAACATATCCTTGCACAGTCATTTTTTTAAATGTGCAAAAGAGGCAATTTTTCCACTTGTGGCTTTGCTTGTGTATTTGGCCTAACAATTTTCATTTAGCTCCTAACAAGTTGAACTTTCTGTTAAGTCTGATTAAAAGCAGTCTTATCAAATCAGCTAATTATGGTGCTTCTACTACTGGCTAATCATTCATATGACAACCAGCCACAAAGAGTGTTGGCACGGACCATTTACCCTCAAATTGCCTTAATCTGGACTATGCATTTGCAGGATGGGTCTACAGAAGCACAACCTGCTACAAACCCAGTCCTACTTTATGACTGAAACACAGAATCTTTCTTTCTCTACTTTTTTTTTTAGGTGCAATAGGTAATCTATTTCCAGAAGCAGTGGCAACATATAGATGTACTGACCCTTTGATTATGATTATTTAATGGAGAGTGCTGAACAGGCAGTTAATGAAAAATACAGCTGTCATACAAATAACTTTGCACCAGGAGTGTGAAGATCTAGAAAAGAAATAATGGGAGCTGTTAGGGAGAATGATATTTTTCTTTAAAAAGTACAGATTCAATAAAATTTATTAATTGTATATGTTTAGTGGCAGCTATCAAGTCAATCAGTTCACATTTATAGGATCATTTAACCAACAAATAATCAAAAATAATTTACACTTGATCTTGAAGAAATCTACTTCTAAAGGCAGTACTTTTTGAAACAAATTGGAGACGAAGGCTAAAGGATTTGCCTGTTCATATTTTTAACAAGAAAAATAAACCTAAATCAGCGGTACCATGGTGTACGACTTCCTTCTCTAGCTGGGAAAAAGGAGGGGAACAAAACAAACTAGATGTAACAAAATATAAATGTTCCTTTTATTGATAAATAGAGGATTACCTTCAGGACTTTTATTTGTTTTTCCCCAAAATGGAAGAGCTGTCATAGAATAGAACCAACTAGTGCTATTTTGAAGAAAGGAACTGGGGGAACAAGACAGGAAATGGGAACAACCATCACTTGTCATTTTTGTGGAAAAGAAATGAGAAGGATGAATGCAAAAGCTGGAGCTCCTGATGTTTCTTTAGGAATAGCTGAGGATTGAAGAAAAGATAATTATGGCTCACCTGAAGAACTACCAGCAGCTGAAAAGGTCCTAGAGTTTCCCAGTTAAATTAAGTATTGAGGCAAATTTCTAAGCCTTATCTATCATTATAAGCTAAATCTAGGTAATTCACAGCATGTGTTTGATAAAAGCTCACATATATAATGAGTCTCAACAGTTTTCCTATATGATCAGTTTTTCTTTCCTTAAATGTAATTCCTTCATTCAGCAACAGAGAAAAAAAAATCAAACTAAACTGATTGTCAATGTCTGACAATTGGCAGGGACAATTCAAGGACAGTAAAGCAGCTGCTACAGATTTTAAACTTATTTTTTGTAATAGATCCGATTTTTAAATTCACAGTGTTCCTTTATAGTCTGTTAGGTTTGTCTCTAGCAGGAGTTCCTTTAGGGCAAGCACTGCAGACAGTCTGCCTACCCTGAGGGAAACTAAGACACTCAGATGTGGGGTAAAGGAAAGATATTAATAATTTAAGACAGTGGTCTGCAACCCTAGGACAAAGCAATAGTGTAAGTATGGAAACATCTAACTCCCGAACTCACATTAGTCCTCCCTGAACTTGTATTTTATAAATCAACAGATTTACAAAGTGCTGCAGAGGATACAGTGTTACCCATGTTTTCTGGAGGAGCTCTGAAAATGCTCATGGTTAATGATACCTCCTGCCACTGCCAGGACCTCCAAAGCAAGGAGAGAAATCGACCAGGAGGCTGCATCAACAAAAGAGGCAGCACAGCAGGGAAGAACACTATTTGTAAGCTACAAAACACAGACCTCAGAGAGAGAAAAAGCCCAGGGTAAAGTACTTTTCCATTATTCCTGTAAGGTAAAGAGGTTAACTTAACATTGCCAAATAGAAGATTCACTGAGTGAAAATCACTTCCAGTAACCCAAATATTAATTTTGATTACTCTTTGACATTGGTTCTCATTTTCATTTTATAGAAAGGCATACTTGGCAACTCTCTTCAGTGTTACAGAAGGAATTATTTTGAAACTATTTCCACATATTCAGTACTCTTTTCCTGAGTTGAGCAAACATTGACCTAACAGTCATTCACTAGTACATTAAACTTTGTATTCAATATTCACATGCATTATAAATCAATTGTATTTGAATGCAGGAAAGAACAGATGTGAACTTTAAGAACTACCTTCATTTTAGCCTACCGTGTGCCCAAAGTGAAGCAAAGTGTTCTCTAGGTGTGCCATACTACATCTTTTCAAGGCTGACTGGCACTTGGATCTGGGCATTATACATTCAGTTTCTCTGTCACATGCTTGACAAAACAAGCTTAAGAACTCACATAGTTTTTCATTTAAGCAGACGGAATTGTACTGGAAGTTCTACTGAAACCTTCAGACTCCCTATGCAAAATACCAGAAATTATCAATATGACAAAAGCATATTAGTTTTCACTGTAAATAATTCCATCAGAAAATCCCAAACAGAATCACCACCTACTTTGAGTACATTTTGTTTACAAAGACCACCCTACATGCTGAAATAATACATTCTTCATAAGCACAGAAACCTGGATTCAACACAGATATTTAAATGAGAATCACTGCAAAAAAACCCAATTATTCAAGTGCAAGAGAATTTAATTAGCAGCCTCGCTTTTGCACCTTCATACTGCAGATTTCCTACTCAACCCTACTTTTCTTATTGTGGCAAAATATTCAGCAAAACTAAATGTTGTAACATACAATTAAACATCCTTTACATATTTTTTTTCCACACAAATACTACGAATGAATGAATGACAAGACATCAGCTCCACTACAGCTGAAAACCCATGATCCTGACAATGGCTAGCTTGACTTCTTCAGCTAGGATTTACTAATACAATGGCTTTGTGTGGATAGATAGATAGATAGATAGATAGATAGATAGATAGACAAATACACACAACTGGCTAATATGTTTTACCTTCTAGACTGAGAACACCACTGTCAAAGCCAACAAAGTATAATGTTTAAAAGGAAAAAAAAAAAAGTTAAGATCCCTTAAACATGAACTGTGAACCTGAACCCCGAGTGTACAAATATTGATGCAACTCTCATCTACTGACAGCTCTTCAAAAAAGCAGCAATATATGATGGATATGAGCATATAAACATATGAGTGTAATATTTATTGTTGGTGGAGAAAACTATTAAAAAACACTAGTGAAACTAATGCAGGATAAGAAATGAAACACAACATTTGGAAGAGAACAAACAGCACCAATCTATTCCTCCCATTCTACCTGATTACAGCATAAAGGGAGAGTGGGACCTACAAAAATAGATTCTCTCTTCCTCTTAACTGTACAAGACAGTGGTGGCTGACTGAGAACTATACTGAAGGCCACAGGGACAAGGAATAATATGGAAGTAACCAGAAGGAAAATTTCAGTCCATATATGAATCTGCAATGTAACTTCTTTCATGTCTTTTTACCTTCCAAAGTTAACTTTACCACAATAGTTTTGTGCGTTCATTCAGTCAAAATACACAATAAACTAGTTTGGGTGTCTAAGAATGGCTTACTTGATGGTGAGTATAGTAACAGAAAACCCTAGGGAGTACCAACGTTTCAAAGTCATGCAACATGATGACAGTTTTTCAAGTCTATCACAACTGACTGGGCGATACAAAAACTAACTTACCTAAGAGGGGCCAGCAGTCCTTGAAAGACAAACATTTCTTGATAGGGTCAGTCAAACCAAGAATTTAACTCTGGTGCTTCAATCAGCTGGAGCACTCCTGAAAAAACCTGTTTCCATCAGCTATACAAAATGCTTTGGGAGCTAGTCTTCCTGGAGAAAGGCACACTTCCTATAACCAGTATGTTTTGCAAATACTATCAAACATATCAACCAGGAAAAATATTTCTGCATTTCTAACATCACTACTAATACGTTCTACAGAAGTGATGAGAATGCCAGCCGCCGTGGTCAGTGCTTCCAGGAAGTCAAATGAATTCCTGCAGTGAACACAGGAAATGACACTGCTGCCACATCATAGCTAACTTCACAGGCATTCTGACCACAATTATAAAAATCACATCTTTCTACTGCAAAAATATTTTTTACGAAGTGTTATAGAAGGCTGAAAATAGAATAAAACTTAGTGAAAGCCATGTGTTTTAACTTCTAATCTGGCAATTGCAGGAGAAGGACTTTATGACCCCACACCTGTAATAGATTAAGCAACTTGGTAAAACTTAAAACATTATAGTAGAAGTTCAACTTTGGCCAGACCTTCTGCTTATCACTTTGAGTGTCCAGCTGCCTGCTGTTTTCAGACAAAGGTACCTCATTAGCCATTGTCAAGTAAATAGATACTATCATTTTTCTGGCTCAGAAAATAAAAATTAATTAACATTTGAAAAAAGTTGCTAAAAAACTACTCATAGTCACTCACAGCACCTTCAATTATAAAAGAAGGACAATTTTAAGGTCACCATTCTGTTAAGACAAAATATGAATTGGCAATAACAATTCCATCAACAACAGGCTGGAACAAATGCCTATGTCTACGCCGAAATTGGTCACCTGCATAGAAAGGCAGATGCACAACACACCTGGAGTTACAAGATGTGTTACTGAACTAAGCTATCTCAAGCTGATAAAGAAACAGAACTATAAAGAAGTCAATGTTACCCAACATCTTAAACAAAAAGCATGTCAACTTGAAAGTGCTCTGTATCACATTCTTGGACCTTAAATGTCTAGAGATCTACACCAAACAGGATGCAACAGAACAAAATGTGGTCTTCTAGCCAGTCTTTTTATTTCTGTAATAATCCAGGAAAACTGTAACCATGTCTACTTAAGCATTTATCACCAACAAATAATTCTGACAGAACTAAACTATAATCATTCCTCCCGCAGGCTAATGAGAGAATGGCTAGAGCTAAATGGTATCCCATAATAATTTTACGTGTATGAAGTGTTCCATTTCATTTAGTGATATTATAAAAGTGATGCATTGGCCATAACATTTACTGTTTACAATCTGCAGCAAGCTATACCCTTCTCAAGGGAGATTAAGTAATCAAGAAAACGTTATTCACACTATGTATTTGAGAAAAATAGATCACTGTGCCAATTACAGACTCTTTCCTATACTAAGAAGGATGTACGCTAGCCTAGAAAGGAGACTGGAAAGAGAAATGACAAGAGATTTGTTTGCTTCTCAAGTGAAAAGGGGGTCATACAATCATGCATTGAAAAAGTTTTGCTTTAGTCCAGCAAAGCCTGAAGAGGAAAAAAACCAAGAAATGCTGCTTTTGAGTAGCTGCTGAAGACACTTCGTTATAGCAAATCTTAAAGCTCTGAAAAACCAGACAGTGACTCACAGGACTACAAACAGAAAGATCCAGTAGTAGCCAGATTGCAATTTTGTTCCCAGAGTACCCATTAGAGGCAAATATATTCCTTAATGAAAACATTTCTTTAAAGTATTCTTTGTTAATATTGCTTGTACACCATTTTCCACTGAAAGATCACAGTGATCGATACAGCCTGCAATGAATGAAGTGCAACATCTCCAGAAAACAGATGCTACATTATTCATTTCACAGATAAGTAAATGCAAGTATGAAAAATTAAGTGACTTGCTCTAGTCAGAGAGCCAAAAACACAGCTGTGAATCTAATCCAGATACCCCAGCTTCCAATGATCTATTAACCACTAGACATTAGCCTTTCTAAAATGAAAGGTAACTTTTTCCTCACATTTTGCCCTCCTTCTAACAAGTCTGGCAAAGCCAGTACAGGGGCTGTTCACTTCATGTGGCTGACTTTTAAGAAACTAAAATCTTAGAAATAAAAATTAATAAACATAAGTTCAACTTTACCGTATGTATTATAGAACTCCCAAATCCATCACTGTAGGGCTCAGTTACCTGTCTCTGCCCTTCCAAGAGGAGGGTCAGCAACAGCTCTCAGATTTAAAGCTGCTGGCCAGGCACAAGCTTGGTGGGAGGTATCAGGGTCACACATCATCCCAGAAGAACACCTGCTACAGTCCTGATTCACAGCAGGCACTTACACCCAGGAGCTGACAGTGCTGCATCCAAACAAGGGGAAGAAATGGATGGGATAATCAGGGAAACATATACTGGCCCAACAGCTGCTTCTCTACATGTCCTGTTTCACATGCACAGATACCTTTCAGCTGCCTTCTTCAAGGCTCTCAGCACAGGCATTGCAATGCAGCAGCCTAGTGAGCCAAAGCTTGGCAAAATGTTAAAAACACTTATCAACACTCTGGTTACACTAAAGGTTTTCTGTGTGGTGGCAATTATGTCCTATGCTGTCTCAGCTCAGAACTTATTCCATGCAGACAAGCACTGATAGAGAACCCTCTACTTTAAGAAACCCTTAACGGTCGCAGGAAGACTTCAAAAGCTGGCAAAGCCTTTAGGCAGGAAGGGAGGATAGACACAAAACCACTGATGACAAAATGCCACCAGTCAATGAAAGTTGAAGAAAATTGTTTAGACCTGGCAGTGAGCAATAAATTTGATTGTCATCACTTACAACCTCAAAGTAAATGAGTAGAAACTTGAGAAACAGCACATGCAACTAATCAATTTTACAGCACATATTTTTCAGTAGTTTCCACAAATACAAAAATCTCCTTAAATACTGGCGTTCTTCTCAGATATATATAGCATTTACTCACTCAGAGTCTCAGATATTAGAGTTCAATCACTTATGTATTTTTTAAAAAATCACCAAATAAAGTATTTTAGATACCCATGCTTTAAAACATTTGTCTGAACACACAACAGGAAACCTTTGTTACTTTTTAAGAATGAGTAATGAGACAGATTGAAAAGTATTCAAAAAAATCTTAGTATTGAAAAATCATGACCTGTTTCCTAAATTGCTGTGATAAGTCAGGGCACAGATCTGTGATTCAAAACTAAAATCACTCACATTTACATTGAAACATACAACGCTTAAATTTCAGAAACAAATTATCAAGATCATTGAGAAAGAATATGGTCAAATTTCACCTTACTGCAATATCACACCATAAAACAAGGTGAGCAAGGTACAATTCGTGCATTACTGTGGGTGTACTAAAACTTGTCAGCAGGATATTAACTCTTCTTACAACACAAAGGTCAAGGCCATCGGAAATCCATCTGCAACAAAGCCCTTGGAAATATCAGTGAAACCACAAAAGAAGATCTAAAATAAGGCACAGAGTTTCAGTTTTATATGAGTAAATATTTTTCTTTCCAGCACAACATATCAGTTTAGTAGTGTACTCTGAAACATATATGAATTTTAAAAAAGAATGTATTTAATCCTGTTGAGCCTGGGCATGATTATTTTCCTACTGGTCTTCCACAAGCCACAGGCTTACAGATTTAAGCCTGAAGCAGCCCACTTAAAATAATAAAAAAACCCCAACAAACCCTTACAGCTCCACCACAAAATTTCCAACCATGTCCCAAAATACTGCATTTAAGATTCACAAACAAACCAGCAACTCTACCACACATTGAACAGGCACTCTAAAGTTGCACTTTAGCGCTGCAGATCTCTGTGACACTTCTGTGACTGCAGTGCAAACTGAAAAGCCCAAACACATTGTGCTTCACTCCTCCTATTCCCTCCATTCCATCAACTCACCTTAAAAGGACAGATGAGCATTTTCTTCTCATCCCTCCTCTTTATCACAGTATCACAACCTTCAGTTATAAAAAGTTCAACAAAATCCCCTCTACCACCATTTTCTAAAGTCAAGTATTTTCCATTTTTATTAACAATTTCATTTGCTTCTTGCAGAAAAGTCTACTCAAGGCCAATGTCTAAATCCCCCTTCCTGAAAATTATTTTTCTTTTAAAAAGCTATTTGCCCCTCTTTCTGTTCACTCAAGACAACCAGATTTAGAGACAGAGAGTTTGAAAAACAAATCTTGTTTTTATATCATTACAACACTGTGGATTTGCCAAGGACCACTAAAGAGCTACAATTTCTGTTCCTTGAAAGAAAAGCTGAACATCCACTTTAAACAAATGCTCATTTTTGTCTTACACCTGTTAAAAAATACTGTGCATACTAAACTTGGATTCTATTAATGTTGCTAGAGCTGCAGTTATAGCAAACACAGATCTACCAAACAAAAAACACCAAAACCCCTAAAACCAAACAAAACCCACAACCAAAACACTCATATCCACAACCAAAAGGCTTCGGAAAGTTGCACTTTTATTTCTTCCTTAATTTTGGTGTCTGGAGTTTTATTGTATAAAAAACCCACTGCAAATCAGTTCTTGTTTTACAGTCAGAGAAATCCCTGCTCAACAATCCCAGTTTGTGCTTATTGGCAGGAATGCAAGACTTCCATTAGTTTGCCTTAAGAATGAAAGCGTAGATAAACAGCTTAGCAACCCTAAAATTCTCAACAATACACAAAAACTCACACTCCCCAGCTGGATATTCCAAAACACTTGGTAACAAAATACACAGTTCCGAGCAGGGTAATTTCGAGTTTTTAAACTGAGCAGCCTCTCTGCTTTTTTCCTTGCTTTGCTTGCAATATACTTCTTAATTATAACAGAATACAAAACTGTCAGCGAGGCAGCCGCACATTTCACGGGAGTTTTCTTCCCGCCCCCGCCCCGCACCGCACGGGGGAAGCGCCGCACGTGGCGTCACAAGGAAGCAACTTCCAAATGACAGCGGATAACCGCAGGGAAAACCTGCCGCGGCGAGGAAACGGGGATCCCGGAGCGGAGGCGAACCCTCCCGCTCCTGCGGCAGCCTTGCCCTGGGGACGCCCCACTCGCGGCACGAAGCCCAAAACTTCCCAGGAGCTTTTCCAAGGCTCCCGCGGGCGGCCCAGCCCCGCCGTGCCCCCCGGCTCCCCGCAGCGCTCACCGGGCCGTGTCCAGCAGCGGGTGCTTGGTGCCCACCAGCTTGCGGACCTGCATGGCGATGTTGCTGAGCTCGTCACTCAGCAGGCACCGCAGGCTCATGAAGGACGTCGGGTAGCCCACGATCTTCTCGGCCTCCGACACCACCTGGCTCCAGGGCGGGCCGCCCGAGGACAGGCACCGCAGCCCGCCGGCGCCGCGCACCCCGCGCCGCAGCACGGCACCCCACATGCCGCCTCCCCGGGGACGCTCCGCTCTCCCACTACGAGCCCCGGCGGGGCCGCACACGCCCAGCGGTCGCGGACGAGTCCCGCTGCCGGAGGAGCGGCCCGGCTGTGTCCCGGCCGGCCCTGCCCGTGCCCCGCGTTCCCCCCGGCGGCGGCGGCCGGAGCGGGCTCATTGTGCCCTGGGGGCCGCCATCTTGGGCGTCGCAAAGCACGGCGCGCCGTAAAGCGAGGGCGGCGAGCGGCGCCCGCTGCCATCCGCCCTCAGACATCGCGGGGGTAAAGCGCCGCCGCTTCTCTCCCCGCTCTGTACTTGTCCCTTCCCAGAGCCGTGGCGGGGATCCCGCTGGAGGGGGAACGCTCCCCGCTCCTGGTCCGGCCTCCTGGGGTGGCCCACAGAGCGGGATGTGCTCTGCCTGCGCCCGCGGTTCTACAGGCGCCAGCGGGGAAGAGAGGTCAGGGTCCCACCTGAAGTGTTCGGCCTGTAGTCTTTAGCTACACAGGCATGATTTCTGTGGGTTTTGGTCTTTGGGGTTTTTTTTTTTTTTTTGGTTTGTTTTTTGGTTGGGTTTTTTTTGGGTTTTTTTTGTTTGTTGGTTTTGGTTTTTTTTTTTTGGGGGGCGGGAGTATTTTTTTTTTTTCGCTGTTAGGATGGTCAGGCATCGGAATAAGTTGCCCAGCGAGGTGGTGGAAACTCCAACCGTGGATGTGTTCAGGAGGCACCTGGATCTGTCATTGATGCGGTTTAGGGGCGACAGTGCTGGTCTGATGCTCGGTCTGATGCCTGATGTTCTGATCTAGACCGTCTTCTAATTTTGATGGTCCTATACTTCTATAATTGCAGTGTATGGGCATACTTTTTTGCTTCTTCCTGGAGTTGTCTGGAGCATGGCATCACCAGCCCTTATTTACTGCCTGCTCTTGTACTGTAGCTGTGTTGTAGGGTGCTCTGCTGTGAGCCAGCTGAGGGGGTTATGAACAGACTCCTTGTGAGCTGAGGAGGTACTTTCAACCAAACAGTGAACATCAAAAGGAACAGCTAATTTTGCGTGCCCAAGTGAAGACTTTAGGGTCCCATAATTCCACAGTGGGGTCTGCTGTATATTGTGTAGTGTTTCCTTAATTCTGAGCACAGCCGTCACCGATGCCTCTTTGCAGGTACCCACCCCCAACACTTTTGTGAGTTCAGAGAATAGATATTCTATTTCAGAGAATAGACTTAACAGAGGAGAAAAATTCACCGGCCATCTTCAGAAATTGGGTTCAAGTGACTTCCTCACATACAAGGAAGAATATGATGTGTTCCATTTTCACAATCACTGACATCCATTCCTCCTATATCTTCAAGGCTTTGTTGCAACAAATCAGGCAAAGTTTTGAGGAGAAAACTGTTCTATTGACTACATTCCTGTTGAAAATGAGGATGTTACATTTCTTATCTTTGGAAATACAAGATACAGATCGCTTTATTTTGTTTGCATTATTTAAAGCGAGTTACATTGAAGGATACTGCTGTAAAAGAAGAGGCAAATAGAAAACAATCCCATCACAAAGAAAGATGTCCAGAAAAGCACAACATAACTCTTGCAGTTTCAAGAGAGAAGCTGCTGAAGAGGAACACCCTTACCTGTTTTTCAATAACAATGACAAGATGTTTATTATTCTGACACTTGAGACAGCTCCAAAATTCTAAAAGGTACTATCCTAAGGAAGGGCTTTGACTGTGGAGTCAACAACACCTAGACTTGCCTGTAGCATCTCATAAGTGGCCTCTCCCAATGGAGAGGGGAAAAACTAGAATAGAGAAAACCTTTGAGAACTGGAAAGGTAACGTAAGAGTTAAGTTTCTGGTGTCAAATCTTTACTTTCTGTGCTGCCTGTCTCTGTGAGAATAAAGCTTTGCCACTGAGGCAGTTTAGTTAGCTGGTGTCACAGAACAAACTGTTGCTAAATAGGGAGTTTCAGCTCATAAACACAGTTTAGAAATGACAGAATGCAGTGGCATGTTTCTGTGCAGAAAGCCTAAGTTAATGAAAATTGCCGGAGGGATGCACTTAAGAGGAGCTACTAAGGCACCTCATCCTGTAACAGTGACAAGTTCCTTGATTCATTTCCTGAGCCATATCCATTCTTGCACTTAATGTGGTTAGTGTTCTGTGAAAAGCTTAACATGATTATACAATTAAAGTCTGCTTAAAATAATACATATAAACTGGGGAGAATTAGGGTTCTATGGGCAATAAACCCACCATCTCCTAATGTGTGAGACTTTAACTTTTTAAAATTGCTGTTCTTTATGTTATTCTAAAAATCTGAATGCCTCTGCACTCTTTATGTAGAATTCTTCTAAGTCCAAGTGGTTTAGAACTAGGGCAAGACCCTTGATATCCACAACACTGCACACTATCACTAGGGTTTCCTCAGGATTCGCCATCAGTAGGTTGATGTTCTTTAAAAGCAGCAGTCACTAAAGGAATAAAGCAAATATTTTTCAGTAGTTTTGCAGCTTTTTTTATTATTATTTCTTGACCACAGATAGTCTTTAAGAAGATCATACTGTAATACCTAAGGACTTTCTGACTCTCACTCTCAGCCCAATGCCTTCATCCCCCTCCCTTCTCTTAGCAACCTAAGAGTCTTACTTCAGTACTTCATTTTTGACTCCTGGTCCAAGTTCATAGTTTCTTTCTCCCAGTCTCCTCACTTCTTTCCTTCAATGCCACACCCTATCCCTACAGGCTACTGTTCTTTCAATCTTGTCACAGCCTTCTCATTTCATTACCAATAACCCTCTTGTCTGCATAGCCTGCACCCTAATCATAGGCTCTCCTTTCTCATACATTTTTATGGGTGGACCCTCCAAATCCTTGGCAAATCTTTTGCCAAATTTCAGGTTTAGAGACGAGAGTTTCTCAGTCATGCAACCCAATGATATTTTTTAACAGAAGGAGAATGTATTTTTTTGCTAACCTCATTTTTCAAACTGAGCAGACTATCTTAAAAATCAGCTTCAGGCTGGCACACCAATCACAGGAAAAAAATCATTACAAATTAGCTAATATTTGACAGTTACAGGCATCAAAAACCAGGGTCCTATAATAGGCAATGATGGGCCTACTTACCCATAGGCATTGCTGTTTGCACTGCCTGTTTCTGAAACAGAGCTTCTCAGTTTTTCTCTCAAAAAAACCCCCATCAGAAGCAAAAGTATGATGTACTTACCATATCATAAGTTGTATACAAAACCACATGTTTTTTTTTTCCTTTGCTCATTTCCCCACAGAATTGGAGAGAAAAAAAAATGTGCACTCTTGCAAGAGCTTCAGTGACTGTACAATACGCATGTCTATTTCTTTAGAGTCTTTTGCAGAGAAGAAAACTGAAACTCTTTTTTTTTTCTGTATCAATTCACTTTTTAAAGCCTCCCCAGGAGGAGAAAGAAGCCACTGGAGGGGGCCAATATCAAAGTTGAAGAACAAAGATGACAGGTCAAGAGACACTTCTGTTTACATCAGCACGCTCTAGACCAATGTACCAGAGAATACATCAAAGCCACTACTAATGCCAACTCTGGATCTCTTTTCTAGCAAATGAAACGTGGAAATATTTTCCTGACTGCCATCTAAACTAAAACAATTACAAAGCACTCTCTTGTGATTGGGAACATTTGAACTTTCAATTTTTCATAGTTATCCTGGCCTTCTCCAAAATAAACGATGTCTATAGGAGAATGAGACCAGCAATGTTATATATTGTAGTAGCTGTAACTTGTCTACATAACCAAATCTTCTAGATGCAGCTTAATTATTTAATATGTTAAATCCCAGGTGCACTCTAAGATTGTTTACAAAAATAAAAGTGAACAGAAATATGTCTGTTCCTCCCAAAGCACCCATGTAGTTGTTAGCACACGCACCTATTCCCCCCACTCACCTTTCCCTCCTCCCAAGAACTGATTTATTCCATGGCATCCTGGGAAAGCAGAGAGTTATGATCATTTCCATTTTGGAAGTCAGGAGGTTTAACAGAGAGATTGTGTGATTTGTCCAAGGCTGTGCAAAAGCCCTAAGGCAAACTGAGAAAAGAATCCACTTCTCTTGACCTCCTTGTCTGTGTCTTGTCTGCAAGGCTGCCTGTCTTCCTAGCAGCTGACAGAACTACTGACAAGGGCGAAGGCCGTATTGATCCTGTAGTTAGACGCTGAAAAAACACCATTATTTAGCATCAGTTGGTTTCAGCAGGAGTCACATCCCTTGGACAGAATTTGACACTTAGAAGTATTAATTTTTAAGTCTAATTATACCTACTGTAATACCAATATCAGAACTTGATATGTTGCTGGTTAGTAAATGACGACAAATCCAAAATATTTTTTTCAAAACAAATAACTGTAGCTGTGATACATAGGGATGCTTTGACAGAGAAGGTGTATGTAACTCTTTTCACTCTGCACACCAGGCTCAGGGATTCAGTAGCTCATCAGGGATATGGGAAAGCAAAAGATCCTGCTGGGTCTCAGCAGCGCCACACAGGCAGTGGGACAAACCCCTTCTGTGCCACATGCCCTCAGAACGCAGCTGCCTCATCAGTCAGCACTGCAAAAGAAAGCAAAATCAATTGAAATCCCTCCATTTCAGCAAGCTGAGTATGAACACGAGTAGACAAGTGTGCAGCTTGATAACGTGCCCCCTTCGTAGAGCCACTGTTTTTTCACCTCCCCACCCAATTTCCATTGTAAGAGCCTCTCAGGCCATCTCCTCTGATAGGCAGTGCTCCACTCAGGGGAATTTGGACAGACACTCAGAGCAGCAACATTTTGGAGCTGAGTAATCTACAATAGAAGGAAGATAAGCGCATTGTTAGTTTCTGCTCATACGCAATCAAAGCAGACAAAGCATCCATCATCCTGTACAATATTAGTCTTCAAATATTCAGCTTTATCAGTTCCCCCATTCCTAATCCATCATTAACCACCCCATGAAGTCTCAGCTGATTAGCCCCACCTCTGCAGCTCAGCAAACCATTAACTATTTATTATTTGTATTTAATTGAACATCAGTAGCAGTAGAAAACTCCAACCAGACACACTTCAGAACCAGAACAAAGGAGATGGTCCCCTGCCTAAGGAATTCATGTTTTGGACAAGACTGAAGTGCAGCAAAGAGGAAGTGACAGCTATGCTGAACAAAGGCTTACCCATGTACCCTCTATTAAATTCTGCACCCTACAAATTTCTAGATATTTTATGGATTTATTTTCAATTAGTTCCATCTCCTTATCCCTTAGAATCAGAGAAAATGACATGATTTGGATGGGTCCTGCAAGAAAAAAAAGGTATTTTTTATGTTAGGTGAAAAATGGTTTAAAAAACTCTTTGAAATCATGGAACAGTTATGAGGTAGTGATAGAAACTAGGGGTTATAGTCATAGGAAACTGGCAAACATACACAACATGCACATTTTATGGGGACTTAAATAAATGAATGGAAATGGATTTCTCAGTTAAAATGCTTACTTCTTGGGGATTAAATATATGTAATTTATGAGGTGTTATTTATATTTTGCTGCTTTCTATTCACATGCATAATCAAAACATAGATACAATTCTAATTTTTTTTTTTTTTTCTGCTAGTAGTCCTGGGTTTGGACACCTTTTTCTGTCTTTCTCTTTTTATTACTTAGACTGGAAGCTAAGGCTAGCTGCACATTTCCTCTGAAGTAAACTTTGTAGAAGAAATCAGTGTCTTTGTTACCTCCACCTGGGTTTCTGTACCTTTCTATTTGTGAGTTCCCTTTGAAACATGCCTGAAAGATCCAGTTCTCAAGAAAGTCACTACCCACTCCCTGAGCAAAGCTGCACAGCACGAGCACTCCACACCAGAGACTCAGCACTGGCTTGTTGTTTACTGATCAACTTTAAAGCCCAGAGCACTGGAGGAAACAGTTTACTAAGGGACTTCTCTACCTCTGTGCCCACTCACTGCCCTGCTACCAGGTGGAGAGTAATGTCAGTCTGGGAACCAAGCTCAATATGTGAAAGTGAACATGGATAATACAGAAAATGTTTTTTTCAATTTGAGTTAGAAAACTCAAGTTAAAACCATTTGAATCCATCCTTGTAATTCAGTGTCTGAACAGAATAATGCATTTTAAGTAGCACTGACTAAATGGCTTTGAGGAAATGAAAAAGCTATCCATCTATAATATACTGTGCTATCTGTATGCTTTACCCCAGTCTAGGTAAAAGCTTCTGTTAAAAATAGGTATTTCCCAGTACTATTCCCTCTGCCTTTGAATTTATTGTGATGTCAATCTATTGGAGACAAAGAATGATGACTCTCAGGGTACAAGGGGTGATGCATTTATATTTACCTAGCACTTGACTCACTTGCATTTGTTCTCCTTTTAATCCCTGTAATTAAAATGCCTGCCTGCCTCTTCAGTATGTGCTCTAAAATAGTTTATATTTGGACATCACAGCAATCATAGTTACTGCTGCAGAAGGACAAGAGGAAGAACAATTGACTTAGGCCAGCACAGTTAAGTAACCTATGGAAGGGAAAACATAAGCTACTAATGCAAAATAGAATATGAGAGCATTGAGTCAGATGAAAGGAACACTTAAAGTAGTACAGCCCGTCTCGCACAAGAGCCAGAATGAAATTATTAAGGCAATAGATGAGAAATGACGCAAATATGGAGAAATAAGTTCTGTGGTATATCCACCCAACTTACAGCTGACTGCACTTTGGAGACTTCTTGAGCCAGATGCTCTGTCAAGTCTATCATGTTTTGTAAATGAAAATGGAGTGATTTCTCAGATCTTTCAAGTCTGGCTTTTCCAAGTTCTTCTTTGAATCTGTTTGGACCTATTTCCCTCCAAACATCTTGTGGACACTGTGTTCCACAGTTTTTTTAAATGTGTTCTGTGGAAGAACCCCACTTCATTTAATTTATTTTAAGCTTCCTATCTGCAGTCAGAACCAATGAGGAATGCCCAAACTAGTCTAAAATAATCTTGAACAACATCTCCATCCATTTCTATTTTATTAGTTCCCTTCATCTACCTTCCTTCCTCTGTAATGCCCTCTTTCTTTTTTCCTAATTTCTGGAGGGTGTCACAAGTTCTAAAGGCATCTAATTTACAAATGCATGCCTATCACATACCAAAATTAAAATGATTGAAAGTACAGCAGTCCTTCAGGGGCAGAGTCTTCTGCAATGATGTCGCTTACTTGTAAGTTTAGTCTTGAACTTTGGTGCCTCAGTTGCTTTCTGAGCTCTTGAATGACAGTGACCTGATTTTCAGAGGTGCTTAGCACCCACCAGGTCTCCAAGGGAGCTGCAGGCACTCCACAAGCACAAGAGAACACTTTTATGCAAAGCATCTGCCTTACTCTGGGCACTCAAGTATTAAATTGTTACTCTGGATTCAGCTTCACAGTGTAGTGACACAGGAAATCGTTAGCCCTGGAGTGAAATTAAGAACCTTAGGACCATAAGTAAAACCCTTACTTATGGTGATTTAAGGTAAGTAGTACTCTTTATTTAAATATTACTAAATGTGAATCTTCCCATTTTTTTCAGGATCAGTGGCAAATGCTACAGAGGAGAATCATCCTACAGGTTTCACGTACTATAAATGTACATATTTGCTATATCAGGAGTCCTGCTGGAACATCTGATTTTCAGCTTTGTATATGTTTCCACAGTAAAACACCAAAACTTCAACTTACATTTTCACCTGCACAATCATCTAATAGATACACTTTCCATCTACCCTATAATTTTTTTTCTTTCTCTGTTCCTCTCTTGGAACTTGTTCAGACCTATTCTCTAGCCAAAAGTGGGTGGGTTTTTTTCTCTTCAGTGTACTCCTCTTTGCATTTCTTTCTGCTTTCACGCCACCTTTCTATGTGTCAGCCTTGTTCCACTTCTTCTCCCTGGTGGCATTCAGAACTCCTGCTACTTTCATACACTCTCACCATTTTAAGCTGCTTTCCCACATGCTGCCTTTCACAGAACACCTTCCATCCACTGATTTCCAAAGCACAGATGCTTGTTCGCTTTCCATGATGGCAACAACAGCTCTAAAGGAAACATATCGTTTCCCCTCCTGCAATTCACGCACAAATGCCTGGCATGTGCTGCCTGGAGAAAGCCTTTCAACTTTGAATTTCCTTGCTTTTGTGGAATCTGTGAAAAAGTCTGATAAATTAAAGCTTTGGCAGTTATTTCAAATAACTTTATTTGCAGCCAGCTGAGGCAAAATCTGCCAATGGTGCCATCCCCGTGTTCTTTCAAAGGTTATTGGTGTTTCATGAGGGAGCTCAAAGTCAAGCTGGTTCAAAGGGAGGCTCACATTTCATTTTTTTCCAAGAAGGGTAGCTTACACGTTCTAATGGTGACAGGAGGACTGTCTTACAAGACATAAGAGCTGAGTTCTAGTTGAGGCCATGACTCTCTTCCAATACATGTGTTTTGTCACTTTATCTCTCGCCTGATGATTTCTCATCTGTGAAACGGCTCTAATGTTAATGGCTGGTAGTTGTAATATTAGTTAACAACAGGCAAGAAGACACCAACTAATCATATGGGTGGCAACATTTTGGTGTTGGCCTTGGACCTGGTTTTAGTGTTGGCAGTGTGGGCAAAGCACACTGGAGTCTGCAGCTCCTCTCAGCAGGGCTCAAGAGACATCAGCTGTGACACACAGCGTGCAGCAGGCAACTTCTCACATTGTCCCGAAGGCCGAGAGTAAGAAATAATACAGAGCCTTGGCTTTGCAAGCCACTGCTGCCTGAGCTTCCAGGAACCACCGTGCACCTGGGGACCTCCAGTGATACTCAGAATAAACACCAGCATGGCAGGGTTTGCCATGTGCGTGATCAGGATTTCAGTGCATGCTAATGAAAATAAGCATGGTGTTCCTGACCCTCTACACCCAGAAGCTGTCCAAAGCCGAAGTCTCATGGAAAGCCTTTGCTGAGCCATCTAGGTGGATAGAAGCTGTATGTGACTGTTTCCCATCTACACCCTATGGTGACCTGAAAACAAATGGTGAGAACATGTCAATTCTACTTTAACCAGTAGCACTGTGAAAAGAAATCAGTAACTACACTTGACTTCAAGAATCTTGGATGAAGAAGGATACAAACACTGATCATCTTTTAAGGCAAAAGATCCTGCCTGTGTAGAGAAGGATTCTCAGGACTGTCTTTGAGCAAAATCTACTTATGGTAAGAGACATAGATTATTATCATTAATGTTACATGCATGATTTAATTAGGAAAAGCCACATAGTACATGAAAAGAAAATATTTCCAGCTAATAGTATTACTAATTACCTAAAAGAGCATAAATCAAATCAAATTTAATAAGATGCAGGAGAAAAGGCTGACAAGAAACTCATGAATTTCAGCAAAGAAATGTGAAATCCTGCATGCAGATCAGAACAATATTTGTGGTAACAAAGCTGGGGAAGCAGCTGAAAAGCAGCCTTACAGGGAAGGCCTTGGGGACAGTGGTATTCAACAATCTGAACATGAGCCAGCAGTGCAGCCTTGCAGCAAAGATTGCTGGGGTGCATTAGGAAGAGCACTACTGGCAGGGTAATGGATGTGATCCTTCCTCTGTACTCAGCTGTGGTGAGACACACCTGAACTGCTGGGTCAACATCTGAGCTCCACAGTATAGGAGAGACATGGACACACTGGAACAAGGACAGAGGAAGACCATGGAGATGATAAAGTGACTGAAGCATCTAATGTTTGAGAGGCTGAGAGATTTGGGATTGTTTAGCAAGGAGAAGGCCTAGGGATATGGGGCCTATACACATATGATCAATGTGTATAAATACCTGAATGGAGGAAGACAAGTAGAAAAGACAGAACCAGTTTTTTTTCAGTGAGAGGACAAGAGGCACAAATCAAAGTAATCCAAATTCCATGTAAACATAAGAAAAAGCTTTTTTTTTTTTACTATGAATGTGGTCAAACACTGGAAGAGGCAGCCCAGAGATGTTATGGAGCTTTCATATTTACTCAAGACATGACTGGACACAGAACCAACCTGTTCTGCTTTGAGCAGGGAGGTTGGACTGTATGATCTCCAGAGGTCCCTTCCAGTCCCAGCAATTCTTTGATTTGCTAAATAAATGCCCCATTCTAGTCCTGAATATATCTGTTATGCATGCCCAAGATACATTTGGATTTTTTGACAGACTTCTCACCACATCAATGTGAAGGCATTGTCATTGTATATTAGGATGTGTAAAATCTTGTAAATATAACTGGGAAGATCAAGAGATTGAATCACATGTCATGTAGGATTCTGGGGGATGCTGGAAAACAAGCATTGCAGTAGAAGAGTAATTGTCAAATAATGACACGTCAAAGCTCAACTTTTACCAACTAAATCATTTAGTATGTAACAGTGTAGTTCCCTTGACATGTTTCTTTTGGTCCTGGAAAGAAGTGAATAACCCACTGTATCTTGTATATGCAATGCAGGGGGTAATTTGGACAAAATGATGTAATGTTTTTGAAAACATGACAAGAAAATTAAGGATGAATAAACTCCAGAATGACTTTATGAATGAAAAGAACCTGCAATTGCTTTCCATCCCTTGACAGATGTTACTTAAACTGACATACTATATCATGCAACAAAGCTTAGAGGGGAAAATACAGGGTTATGAGAAAATGTATAAACCACTATCATTATTGTAAAAAATTCTTTTATTCTACACAGAGAGACAAAAAGAGTAGGGATACTTTTTAGGAAGAACCTGATGTAGAGTACTGTACCAGTATTTTCAGGAATTAGCAAAATGAATCTGTTAAAAAAAAAATAGTGAAGTTAAAATGAAGGGAGAACTTTCTGCTGTATCCCAATCCTACACAATCTTTCCCCCTTTTCTCCTGCCTTTGTAGCATCTACGAGACTTGCCTATTTTTTAAAGTAAAACCAAGAAGACTCTGTCCTGCCTTGTTCTGTACAGAGAAGTAAAATAATCAGAAGGGGAGGAAACAGTTATTGTCGAGAAATGGTAGGTGAAGAAATGAACATGCCTTGGCTAGAAATATTCTCAGTTCACCTTAGAGGGAGGTTTACAGCTTAGGACTGTTGCAGCAAGCACAAACCTCCACCCTCACCGGTTTTGCTTCCAATTTTGACAGTTCCCTGCTTTTGATGTATGTAAAAAACAGAGGCACAGCACACAGGGAGTTAGGAGGATGCCTCAGTACCTCAGACCTTCTCCAAAGCAGCCTTTGGAGATCAGAATTTTAGGTGTCAGCCCCAATAAAAAGAAGAAACCCTCAAGAAAGTAGGGTTTAGAATATGCTCTTACTAACCTGTGTGACAGAGCAAGTAGAGCACCATTTTGGATGAGATGAAACTTCAAAAATTCACAAAATCTCTTTTTAAAAGATTAATTTTATTCTGGGGTACAGACTTTAGCTGTAATGAAGCTGCAAACCCATAGTTTGTCACAGCCAAGTTCAAGTCTGCTAAGTTTTTTGCTCCTCCATAGGTCCTTTATTTTTTTCTACCTGATTTTTGGCATTACATTCAATATGAAAGCATCACAGAAGAGTCACTGAATAACCAGAGTAGATAGATAGAGTGTAGCAGTAGACAGATGATAAAGATTTTTCCCCACAGTCAATACTGGTGTCCGGGACACATTTTTTACTAATTTGTTTTTAATGCATTGCTACCTTATAAAAAGGTTTATTATTGATTGATTTTTAATAGCATGGGTGTTCTCTTTTGCTAAAGACTTCTTCTTGCTTACTTTTGTTGTAAGGAACGTGAGAAAATAAACAAGAAACAAAAAGGCATTTAAACAGGACATTTGGAAGTATTTAACAAAGAATCATAGAAACAAGTTAACTTTTCTTTCTGTTTATCAAATTATGTGAGGATTCTGGCCAAAAAAGCAATTGTTATTAATAATTTAATAAGTTAAATAAAGTTTCTCCCTTTTTGCCAGAAGTTTCAAAAAGCATTAACAGTGTTAAGGCACTCTCTTGCCATTAATTCATAAAGATTTGACACTGATATCCTAAAGCATAAAAAAAAAATCATATTCATCAATGTTAAAATATCTCCAAACATTTCCAGACCTTTGTATTTGGAAAGCCGCCACTATTCCCATTTCAACTGCCATACTGAGTCTGCTTTGCAAAAGCTACCTCTTGATGTTTTGCAGAACAGCCTCTAATCGTCTAAGGAAGCTCTGGATTGAGATTAGTATCCACAGCAGAAAGGAATCTACAGACACTACTGTGTGCAAGTAATGCTGTGGGCGTTCGTCCAAGCTCAGGAACGAGTGGAATGTACCCCTTCTCCAAGGTATGGGTGAAAAAACATCACTGAAGTGGAAGTGGGGTTTGGGTGGAACTGAAGCAAGAGAAAAGCTCATATATATGTTTTCCATGTTTATGAAAACGACTGTCTACTTATTAAAAAATATATTGGGAGCCAATATTTTAATTATTCACTGCATTTATTTGCTTCTGATGCCATAAATAATCTATCATCTTAGCGTGCCAAACAAAAAGTCGGAGGAACATTTCCACTTCAAGTCAAACAAAAAAAAAAAAAACAAACCAAAGTAATGGAACTTTTCTGTGAACTCACATAATGAATTTCTTTGTTTAATTAAACACTTCAGCAAACCAAATACCTGAATTTAAATTGCTGTTTATTATGGCTTCCCCTCAGATACAGGTGAAAGACTGCATAGACATATGTTTTCCACGGTGACTGGCATTACCAAGCAACCTGATGGAGAGCTGACAACACCTTGGCAAGCAGGGAATAATAAGGTAAATTATCGGCAATATTAAGAGAACCCAGTTACGAGCCTCACCTTTACTTTGGCCTGCGACGTCTGGGGCTGTTACTTGGGGAAAAAAAAAGAGACAACAGCATCTCTTTTTACCGTCAGCTTTCCTCCTGTGTGTGTGGGTGGACGTGTGGGTTTATACGTGCATAGTCACACGCAGACTGGTGTTTAAACACGCTTCGGTGTCCGAGGCTCCATGATGCGTTTCCCACTGTGCCGGGAAGGAGCGGGACAGGAGGGGGAGCTCTCGCCGCGGCCGCCGGGCGGGGATGCCGCTGCTCGGGCCGGGGGCGGCGGGGCCGCGGCCCCTTCGCCCGCCCGCCGTCCCCGCCTCCCGCCGGGCAGCACCGCTGCTCCGAGGATGATCCCGCTTGTCCCGATTTTGCCTCTGAAAACCGGCACGTTGTTTCCAGACTGCCCGCAGTTCGCTTGTTGCTGTTGCCTTCTAAAACCTTTCGCTTTGAAGCCGTCGTGCTGCTTACATATTTAGCAGCTGGAAAAATCAGGCCTGCTTGTTTATCTCAACCTCCCCAGCAGGAAAAAAACAGAGAAGAAATAGTTCATTAATAATATTAAAGAGACTTATGCATTAATAAAGGCCAAAATAAAGAACTTGGAGCAAAGTGTTTCTTTTGTGTTGCCTAAAAAGCAGCTCTGGTATGTGGATAGGTCCCCTTTTAAAACATTGAAACATTAATAAATAGGACTAAGAACAATAGAATATAAATTAAACCTGGGGTGATTTATTTTAAGCAACTCATTTGAGCATGTACTTTTATGAATGATACTTATTTTTCAGAAGTCCAAATTACCTGCTTGCAAAGCCAAGTGCAAATTCAGAGCTGGAAACAAATCTGTGATAGAACAAAAATAAGGAGCTTGGTAAAACATGGAGCCTTGTGTTTAGAGCATGTGCTTGAGCAATGGAAGTTTTAAAAGCCCAGGTTCTTGCCATGACTTAGAGACCACCCAAAGGCAGAATCCCATAGTTTCATCCCAGTTTTAAAAAAACCAACCAACTTCAAACCCTTGAACCGTCATGACAGCAAGAGACTTTCTCTACTGCACTGTAGTTAGAGCACACTCTAATAGATTGATTTTAAATCACCTTGGAAATTTCACAAGGAATTTGGTCTCATTAAACACAGGAGTAAAATCTTCACTGATTCCCACACAATCAGGGTTTCATCTTTGGCTGCAAACTGCTTACAGATACCACATACCCTGGTATCTCTGTTTCTTAAAATAAATCCGAGCAGTTCTATTGATCCAATATGTCACCTTTATTCACCTGTTTAAGGTGTTTGCAGAATCTATATTGAGAACTACAGAACCAGGATTCTTTACCAAAAATACAGGTTTTCATACAAAAAGTATGTGGTGCTGCCAGAGTTCAGTAAATGTGTTTAATGTTAGAGTGCCTGTAATGTAAATAGCAGATTTATTTTCTCATAACTCTTTGGAGATGTTCAGATCAATGCCATTGTATGGCTGACAAATGTGTGGCTTCCATAGATTCTGATATTCTGCCTCCCCTTATGAATTCACGAGTTACCACTAAAACCTGAAAGTGTTCCTTTTTGTTAGTCATTCCCTCATGCTCAGTAACAAGTAGAATAATTAGATGGTTTCCAAAACTTATTTCAGTACCAGTGTCAGATAACATCTGAGCACTCTAAATGCATGAACTTCTGTGTTGACAGTTGATGGTCCTCCATATGCTGCCACTAGAAGAACAACTTCCCAAGAATATGCAGTGTAATAATATGAATATATAAAGGTAATAACAGCTCTAGAAAGGTAGGAATCGTGACAGTTGCAGAAATAACCTGCTGTCAGATGGAGATATTATTATTAGGGCACAGAGGGGTAGAACTTTTGTATCCATCCCAGTTCTACATTAAATACTGAGAAAAACAGAGTATGTTTTAAGACTGTGGCTTTCATCTGGTGGTTGACAAGGTACTGGGGGACTGGAGGTTCTTTTTAAAGAGCTTACCAGAAGTAGCTGAGAAAATGAGCCTACTGTCAGGAGAAATAAGTTCACGTCTCCATTCAAAAGTATTCAGAAAAATACTGTGAAAAAAAAACAGCTGAATGCTTTTGGTGATCAAGAAGTGAGAATCAGCATTCAGAACTGGTAGCAAAAGGGGTGGGAAGTGCTTCAATTTGCAGCCAAACCTTCAGATGCTAGTCAGGAGAACCAGAATGACAGACTTGATCCTGAAGAAAATTCATTCTGGTCTACTCACTGTAACCTGCTGTAGTCACATCACCTAGGCTTGCAAATACCTTCTGCAAAGTGTCTTCCAACATTAAAGGAAGTTCTGTTTATGCTGGGAGTTTGAGATTAATCTTTTTGTCAGATTGTCAACTCAAACCTGTTACATTTATGCAGTGCTTAATGAAACAGTGTCAGGGCTTTATTACAATACACATAGTAAGTGTTGAGAAGTAGTCCTCTGATGTTTCACTGAACAAGAACCATTTGAGGCAATACTCTAGCAAGAAATTTTAAGGTTTTCCTTAAAACTCTTCTATCCTCTCTACAGAGAAACTATCTGTATGTCTAATACAAGAACTAGTTTTGTCTTTTTCATTAGAATGACTTAATGTATCAGCAAGGTGGTGGCTGCTCAAAGCAGAATAGTTGTCTGAGGTTGGCTGGCTTTTTCCAGCCAAAGGTTTCAAAGAACCATGTGAGATTGTGTTTCAAAGCAACTTCCCCTTGTGCTGTCTGTCTTATTCTTATTGTGTGAAAGAATACACTGAGACTCTGGGAATATCTCCTGTACTTAATGAGAGCTCAACTGTACTGATTTGTTTGTAATAGAATATGGTAAGGAAAACATAGAGGTGAAGTTGCTGCTGATGGTAGTGGTGGTGAGGCGCAGGAGGAGGGAAACCTTGCTACTAAGCACCATCCTTTGAAGGTTACCTGTAGTCAAAAGTTTCCACAAGTTTGAAAAATCACTGTATTTTAAAATACTACAAGCAAGTAAAAAAACCCCAAAAACCTTCCTTTCTTCTCATGCTTGCTGCTTGGTGGGTTTGAGCCCAGACCTTGTGTTCTTGGGGTGCGCAGAACGGACCAAGCCCACAGCACGAGCCCTGCTGCGACTGAACTCCTGCAACTCTTTGCTGTCAGCAGAGCCTTCTCAAGGGTCTCTGCGAGGTCCTGCTGCTCTGAGAAAAACAAACGATCAGGGCTGGGTTTTTTTCCAATATCTGCTGATTCTTTTAGGCAGCGAGGGGAGTAGCAGCACCTTCGCCTCGCAGCGGCCGTGACCTTACTACAGCGGATGTGCTCTAGGATATTACAGGCTCAGTCTGGTTGCTATCTCATCTTTTGATGCTCGATGCTCTAAGAGCTGAGACTGTGCAAAATCCCCGTTTCTTCTTATTCTCAAAGTCACGGGGGAAAATGTGCCCCGTGACTCTAGAAATCGCTCTGACAGGCAGGCAGGCAAGGCTCATTTAGTAACGAAACGAACAAAGTTGTGCTCAACTTTTCATGCTAAAAAGTGCCAGTGATTTAAAGCTTTGGAAACAGAGAATGTAAATTAAACATTGTTGCACGCAAACCGAACTTGTCTTTGACAGGCTAAACAGAGATTCTTATGGGGAGCCTACTCATGCCCACACAGAACGCAGTTTATCTTTCGACTGTGGGTTTGGGTGTTTTTATAAAAAACAGTATCATTTTAAGGTGTACCGCAGTCGTAATGAGAAACCCCGTACGATTACAATTTTGACTATCGGAACAATGGACACCCCCGTGCCGTAATGTGTTGTATCGAGTAATCAGGGACTGCCAGGGAAAGCGGGAAAGCAGAGCCTAGGAATAATCAATGTATCGCCCACAGTGTGTGCTGTAATCCGGCACCTCCTCGCTGAAGCGCGTCCCAGCAAACCATTCATCCGCACCTCCCCGCCGCAGATAAAGGGAAAACCAGGAGTGATCAGGGGAAGAGCCCCCGCTGAAAGCGGCGGGGACGGGACGGGACCGGACGGGACGGGAGCGGTCGGGACGGGACGGGTTGGCTGCGAGGAGGGCACAGGCCGAGTGGACCCCTCGGGTGTTCGTGGGGGGCACCGGACCCCCCTCCCCATCCCGGACTGGGGGCGGGGGCGGGTGCACACCGCCCCTCCTCTCCGCCGCGCTCCGCTCCGCCCGGTGCTCGGCGCCTCCCCCCTCCCCGGCTCCCATGGCGGGCAGCGGCGGCCGATTCGGTGCCGGCAAGCCCCGCCCGCCGGCGGTCCGGGGCCGGCCTCCCCCTTCCCTCCGCCGCCCCCTCCGCGGCAGCCCGCCAGCAGCGCCACAGCAGGCGCGGGGCCGGCTCGCTCCGCGCTGCCTCCCGCCCGCCCGCCCCGCCGCTCCCATGCGGGCCGGCGGCGAGGCAGAAGATGGCTGACTCGCCGGGGCACCCGCGCCCCTGCCCGCCCGCGCCCCCCGCCCGCCCGCCGCCGCCGCCGCGCTCCCCCCGGGCCCTCCGCGGCGCCGCCTGCCACCACTGAGAGCCGCCGCCGCCGCCCCCCCGCGCCCCTCCCGGCCCCCCCAGAGCACCAGCAGCCATTTCATCTCCACCACCACCACCACCAAGTAGGCGCAAAAAATGGCAGAAATGGAGAAAGAAGGAAGACCTCCTGAAAATAAAAGGAGTAGGAAGCCGGCTCACCCGGTGAAGCGGGAGATCAACGAGGAGATGAAGGTAGGTGCTTGTGATGGGGACGGGACCGGGGTCCCCCCCCGCACCCCCCGCCTCCGAGCATGGAGATGAAATAAGAAAGGATCTCTTGTCATTTTTTTTTTTTTGTAGGATGCACTGAATGTGTCTCAACTCCGCCTCCTGGGCTGCAAACAGAGACGAATTCACAGGCTGCAAATCCTGATCATTGACCAGCTTTATTTATTTTTTAAAAATAACTCTCTCGTTGGGCTTTTAAGCTCCTCGGGTGCCAATGATGGGCCTTTTTTTTTTTTTTTTTTTTTTTTCCCCCGCTTTCTTTCTATAGCCACCTCTCAGGTAGCTGCGAAGCCCTTAAAGTTAGGAAAGAAAGGGATCTGTTTTAAACACTGTATTTCTGTCCTTATTCAGTAGCCAGCTGCAACTGTGTAATTAAATTGTCAAAGTGAAACGTTGCGGTCTGAGCCGTGCATCAGTCTGGCGCTTCAGCGCGGAGACCCCTTTTCTCTCCTTGCCCCTTTCGCCTCCTCCCCTGCTGCACCGCTTCGCTCCGCGGCTCGTGGCAGCGCAGAGGTGTCGCTGGAAGGTGGCTGGTCCGAGGGCTGCTTTTGATGGAAGTCTATTTACGCGCGGAGGGCTGTCCTGCTTGATAGGAACTGGTGCCACTCCAGCTGTGCTCTGGCGGCCGCTCCAGATGTTGGGATGGCTGCGGTGGCACAAACGCGCTATTTTGGAACTTCTTTTATCATTAGGTCGCTGTTCAGGCTGGACCGGTCGTTTTTTTTGCGCCTGTGTTCCATGTCTGTTCCCTGTGTGTTTGTTGTCTCTAATTCCCCAAAGTTGGTAACAATGTATTGCTAGACTTCAGCTGAACTTGTTGTTAAATGCGCAGATAAAGTGACTAAAACAGCACAGTCTGGCTACGAGATAAAGCTGCTGAGATTTAATTTGAATATGTCATTTATTAAAAGGCTGATTATAAGTGGAAGACTGCCTGGAAAATGTCACTCGTTCACGTAGTATGTACACTATATAGGCGAGTGTATAAATATGCATGATGCCTAGTGAAAATATCTTTGCTTTCTAGAACATTGATCTCCCCATATAAAATTAAACGGGAATCTGCCATCCCCTCCCCTCTCCCCTCTTTTGCACACCACTAATTTCGGTTAGGTGCCCTTTCCTGCCCAAGGCAGGCATTCTTGTTCTTGCTGCCTGTGTAATGAGCATGTACATGGTTCTGTGTGCACTTCGAGTGTAAATGTGGGCAAGAGTAGTATTAGGGGCACAAACAAAATAATGTGTTGGTGCATCTCTTTGGAAACAAGCTGTAGTAGCTTCAAGTCCAGAGGAGCTCCCGCTTTCTTTGTGAGATATGTGACACATCCTATTTTCGGAGAGGGCTCTGTGCGGCCACCGGAGAGTCATTGCTCATTGTAATCCCACATAGTTTTGAGGACTGCAGAGGTCTGTAGTACGGGGCATTGACCCCTCAGAGCATCGCCTAATGCGATCTATATGGATTGCAGCTTTTAAGTTTCATATGTTCTAGAATTACAAATTAGCTAATTTTAATCAAAACATGTGAAATGTTATCCTGGCTGGATATAAAGGCTGACTGTGCTGGATCCTCTGGGTTTGTTTTGTTTACTTTGGCTGCAGGCACACTCAGCGGTTTGGGAGATAGTTGTTCTTCTACAGTATAACAGATGTTTGTCTGAAAGGGTGAGGAAGAAACAAAAACAACATTGTGTGAAAGAGAAAAATTACACAATTTTAAACTAATGCTTTGGTATTAAGTACTAGCATTAACCTTTATGTAGAGAGTTTCTCTTTTTAAATCATGTCTAACTGCTTAAGGTTAGCAACCCCGAGATTTCAGCTGACTTAAAAACTAAGGGTGTGTAGAAAGGACATTTTGAACCCGTGTAATTTCTGGTTGAGAGTGAAATAGCTGATGGCAGAACCATCCACAGCCCACCTTTCAGCATAAACTATGTTATATGTGCTATGCATTTTTAGTAGGGCTGTTGGCTGCTATCGTCTAAGAAGGGGAAAAAGAGGGAGGAGGAAAAAGTAGTTTGAATTTTTGACTGGTTGATAAAGTTTAAATCCTGTGGTGATCGTTTACCCTTTTTCTTTACTGATGAACTAAGATGTCTAGTTGTTCTTAATAAACCCGGAGAATACAATAATGTAACAAATTGGTTACAGTGTGCAAAATGTTTGCAGTGAAATGACAGAGGGAGCACAATGTGCCCTTGTGTAGGTTTGTATCTGTAATGTTCAAACAGGCTGGCTGTTTCCCTTCATCTGAACTGCTTTCATCTGGACCAGTGTAAAATAAGCTCTGGTAAGTAATCACAGCAGAGCAGAAAGAAAGGAATGTATACAGCAATAGACAGCCTAAGCTGTAAAAACTGTAACCTGAGTATCAGCAGCAGATCAGATATCAAGGCTTTAAGGTAGGGGAAATGAAAGAGATGAAGGGGAGGAAAAGACGAGAGAGGGAATGGAAAAGTCAGCTTGGAAAGTAAAGGAGAAGTAGGAGGGCCCCCTCAGGGAAATTTGGCTCAGGGGTTAGGGAATTTTATCATGGTGTACAGTGACCTACTCAGGTTTCAGCCCACGTTGGATCGAATTGCGTCCCTTTGCTAGCAGAAAGAAAAAGGACTGGTGTATATGTGATTTCTTTTTTTCCCCCCACTTTGGATAATAAAAAGGCCATTGGTACAAGTGTCTATTTTAAGTACAGTAAATTCAAGGCACTATGAATGAGCAATAATATTACCTCATCACAGAGACTTCCTTTGAGATTTGCTGTTTGATACAGTCAGATATTTACTCGAGAAGGGTCACAACACCTAACTGCTTGCTTTAGTGTTTTCCAACAGTAGTGTCACAGCTTGGTTTTAACATGACTGGATGGATAGTCAGGTTGCTCGCTCTTTCCTTACGCCAGATATTGAGTTACGTTTTTGTTATCGCTAACCTAATGTACACGATGGTTATAACAAATTTTAATTTGATACAATGTTGTGTGCAAAAAGTACATGACTCTGCACAGCTTTCTGATATTGCGTTTCATGAGGAACTGTTTTGTTACACTGTGACCTTTACAGCCACTCTTTTGTATTTTCTAGTTGTTTTTTCTTTTGTCCTCCTTCAGATAAGACTTTCTTCCAGATAAGTTTTTCTTCCAGAGGTAGCATTCACCTCATGCCTTGGAGGATTATGGTTATTCTGAAATTCAGTTTGGTGCCATTTTCATTTGCTGGTGAATAGCAGAACACCTCTTAAATCCAAACCTTTTGTCATCAGGGAACCTACTACTGTTTTAAGACCAAAATATCTGTAAAATTGATAAAAGCAGTTGTCTGGGCACAGTGGTGGATCCCCCATCCATCCCTCCTTGCCTTATTTCCATCTGCCATCCTGCTGCCAGGAAGCAGTGCTGCTCAGGAGGAATAGCTAGGTGCTCTGCAATGCTGTGAGGTGAGGTTACATCCAGTACTGAATTGCACTGGAATTTCTCCCGTACAGATGAGGCAATGTGTCCATGTGTCTCTAGCAGTTGGAAGGTAAGCAATTAATTTGCATTGTAATTTCACAGGGCTGCTTCATGTGCCCAAGGAGTTTGCTGTCCATAAATATTCTCAATAACTAATTTGTGTCTAAAATTGGGCTTTGTTCGTGGTGCCTAGAGCTTAGGGCAGCTCCATCTGTTATCATTGAATAGTAAACTCATCAGAATATCTTTCAGTTTAGTGTTTAAATAGTCCCTGTTTGGCATTTGAAAGTAGTACTATCAGAAGGAGGAAAGCGGTGAAGCAGGCGTAGCAGCCCTGTGCCTGGAGCGAGCCAGTTTGCTCAGAGCGCTCAGGAGATTTCAAGGAAACTCCTCCCTTCTCTCTTGAAAAGCAAAAAAATATCTTTGGGGAAGTGGAAAAGCAGACTGACTTTATCAATTGCATTATTTCTGTGGAGTATGCATAGAAGTTTTGTGGGATGGCTGCAGAGGGGTTGCCTGTCTGCACAGGGAGCCTCACCTGGCAGGGCACTGCAGAAATAGTGCTTCCCCAAACAAACTGGGTTATACAGAGCCAAACATATATGAGAGGACAAAGAAAAGTAAAGCATAATGGAATTGTGCTTTCTGATAGTGTAAAGGTCTAATCACAGAATTCAGTATGGCATAAACAAGCAAAGAATGTGAGGCCTGGGAGAAAAGATCCAAGTTTGTATAGTGCCCATAGAAACATTTTTATTTCCTTGATGCAGTGAAAGTGAAAAGTGAGTTTGTGGAGCTCTGCACTGAGTGGGTTATGCAGGCAAGGAAATGGAGTGGAGCCACTATGCTTCCTCCCAGATCTGAAATAAACATTCAGCAGTAAAACCTAGAAGAAAATGAGTCTGACAGACTCAAGCTCCCCTGTGTTTCCTGCCTCCATGTTTGCCAGGCCTCATTCGGTGAAGCCAGGCCTTGCCCCCTGTGAATAAGGTTCATAGAGAAGGAAAATCAAGAGATCTAAGATGGAAAGACACGCGTTGCATAACTTGAGAATGTATTAAATACCGAAGATTTGGGGAAGTGATGCATTGTAATGTAAAAAATCAAACTGTACATGTACTGTTACGATGAAATGAATCCTAAAGTGGGAATAAATGTGATTATATTTTTACTGCCTAACATATAAGTCAGACTCAGAAAGGAGGGAAACTGCAGTCTAGCAAGTCAACACACTCTTCATCTTTCAGGGGAATAAGGAGCAAATTCAAGTAGAAATACCGATGAGCATAACAGTTAGTTATCCTGGCTCTTCCAGGAGGGAAGTAGTACAAGAATAGAGAAATCATACAGTTAAAACACACAAATTACTCATTGCCCCACAGTGATAAGTGCTTTGGGACTTAGCAGTGGGCAAAAGCCGAATTGCCATCTATTGGAAAGGAAGGGCTTTGGCTGTGGTGTGTGAGTGGGGTCACTGGAGAGTTTTCGGGCTGATTTCTTTGGCAGGCGTGAGCTGGTTGTGCTACAGCCGTAGTGAGTGCTCAGGCAGTCAGCAGCTGTAATGGTGCTCTTTCAGCTAGGGAAGAGCAGGAGGTTTGGCTCCTGTGGGATGTTAACCAACTGCCTGGGTGCACTGGCAGCTGCAGAGGGACTGGTGTTTCCACTGTGGTCTCAAAAGCTTGTCTGCTTGGTGCATGGCGTGGCAGAATGAGCATGGAAGGATGTGGAACAGGATTTCTGTGGTTTTCTTCTCAGCTCTGATGTTGACCCACACTGTGGGTGGCATCAGGGCTTGGTCTCTTGTTTTCGTGCAGGGGACTGAGCATTGCCTCTGCACCTGGCTGAAGTTAGGCTCCGTGCTCTACATTTGCAATGAAATCTGTGGTCCCTGCAGAGGGCCTACTTTTGGGCTAAGGGTCCCAGCTTAGCAGTGTGATTGCTGACCTGAGATTTTATTGATTATGAGTAAGGTTTTCTCTCTATGCTAGTCTTTCAGATCATCCCAGCTCTTTGGCACAGCTGTGGGGTTGGGGTGGCAGCCTCATCCTGCAGACACTCCACATCCTTCTGGGGAATGAGTCTGAAAGTAGGCGTGGACTACCTTAATGCCTCTGCTGTCCTGTTCCTGCTGAAGCTTTGAATTGCAGCTCCTTGCATATCCTCCATCTGGTCATCCACACCTGCCTTCACATCTCCTCCCTGGTCTTTGGCAGGTCTATTATCTTGCAATTCCTCTGAATCCTGGTTAGCTTGCTTGATCGCTGCTGCTTCTGCTTTCCTGCTCCATTGTTGAGTCCCCATTCCTGCTTTTCTCAAGCCTCAGAGTTACAATCATCACCCTTCCTTTCACTAAGCCTTTGACACTTGTATATCTTTCAGTGATGTTCTGCTCTGCATGTACAGGTTATGTATTAACATGCTTTCTTTCTTTCCTCAGCTTCACCAAGGACTGGTCATTGTCTCTCTTACTTTTTCTTTCTTTTTCTTCTTTTCCCCCCTTCCCTGCATTCACAGAGAGAAAAATTATCTAATAATTTGTGTTTCAGCTATTGCCACCACACTGGTCTTTACAATTCCCATCTTGTTACCATGTCTTGAATCCATGTGTTTTGTGTCTATCATTGAAATGGAAGAAGGGGAAATACATGAAAACAATGAATTAATAGTGGTCAGCTTCAGGGCAGTAGCTTCAGCATGATCTCAACTGTCAGGGTGTTAGACATCTCTGCAAATGGGTGTTGTAGTCAGGAGTCTGAGCGGAGGTGATGTTCTTTGGATACCCATCTATGCAATAGAGTCAGTGTGGAAAAAAACATTTCTCAGGTTTGACACTCAGCTTGCTAAGGATGGGGTCATGCTTTCCGTTTGCTGTGAATAAAGTGTGGTGTAATGGAGCTCTGGCTGTTAGTCACTGAGGGAACGGTATTAAGGGTGACTTGCATCATTGTAGTAGATAAGATAAATTATGGAAGAGAGTGTCTTAATAGTTTTCTTCTTTTATTTATTTTTTTTTAAATCCAAGCCATCCTTTTTTGGGAAATTGATGTAAAAAGGTGCTTACTTTTGTTATTGCTGGCATGCAACCTCATTGTACTAATATTGAAGTTAGTAGAAAAGACACAATTGATTTACTATTTTATAAAAGAGTCAGATCTCTATGATGAATGATTTCGAAATCCAATGTATTTTTTTGTCAGTATGAATGTTCATTTTGGTGCATCACTTATCATGGATAGTTTAAATGAGATATGAAAGGTACTTAAATTTCATGCCATTACAAACCCAGCCATCATTTTGACTACATTTCGAAGGGACAGATGCATGTATGAATTTTCAGGAAAAAACAAACATATGTACAACCTTGCTTATGTATTCCTTGACAAGTAATTGGAAATTATTAATTGTCTGAGTTGATCAGCAGTGCAAATAGAGCACAAAGCATCCACAGGAGGCAAATTTAGAGCTACTCGATTAATTTGGTTGCATGGGGTTTAAATCGGTAAGACTTTGTCTATTGGTCTCTACCTTGCTAGATTAGTCTCTAGGGCTTTGTTTCCATAGTTGAAATTTAGCAAAGCAAGGGAAACCGGCAGATGTTGCCTTTGGACCTCCACGGGCCCTTTCAGGTCATTTTGGGTGTGCTGCAGTGCTGAGATCTGACTCCCCAGGTCCAGGACATTTTGTTATTGGTTTCCTATTGGTTACAAACAGGGTTGGTGCACTGGGTCTCTTGATTGTTAGGAGAGAAGTTTTCTAAAAAGCTAAAAAACAAACAAACAAAAACACAATTGAAAAACAACTTTTAGAATTTTTTTTCATTTTGCTAGTATTTAAAACACAGCACTGCATCATTCAAATAATCTAGGTAGTTGTTAGCCACATTTGCACTGCATTGTACTAATTGAAAACTGTAGTAGTGGCCTAATTCACATATCATACTTAAATTGCTGAGTCTAGAAGCAGAGGTGGGATGATGGAATATTTTTCAGCAATCTGGGGCTGCACAGGACAGCCACAGAATTGTGACTTCCATCAGATGGTAAGGTGAAAATGCAGAGGGGAAAAGAAAAAATGAAAATGGATGCTTTAGGGGTCTGCTCTGGGGTTTTGTTTTGGGTTTTCTTTTCCTGAAATGTGTTTGCAGCATAATTGCACAGATGATACTCTTGGAAGAGTACAAATTGCTTGTGTTTATTGCTTATAGCTGCTTTACAGCGCTCCTTGAGTGACAGGAACACCTATGTAATCTGGTGTGATGAATGAGCCAGGAGCAGTGTGGTGCTCCGAGGTTCTGGGATACAGCGCCTGCTGTAGCTTTGAATTCAAAAGCAATTATCATCTGATTAATTTTATTTATTTGTTTAAATGACTGGAGAATTGCTGTGTTCTATCATTAGACTTTCTCCCACTCAAAAATTAAGCTAGAGTATTTACTAGACAAAATCTGGCAACCTGCAAATTTGACATTCGCCATTTGTTTTGAATTGGTGTTGTATTCTCCTTATTCCTTTGCCAGAGTCCTGGGAGGCAGTGCTTATCAGAAGAATTAATTTAGATGTCAAGATCTTGGAGGAATATGAAGTTTGGAATTTGTTATAGAAGAGTGTTGATTAAAAAAATTGCAAAAACCAAATAGAAAGGCTCTGTGTGTGGCTTTTTTGTTTCAACTTATAGTTGTCATACTACTTTAAACTGATCTTTGCCATTGCAATAATTCGTTGGCTGGTTTCCTTTGGTAGTTTCCTATATCCATAATCTGTGGAGCTCTGTGGCACTATTTGGTTTCAGAAAGCTTCGTTGCCTGGCTGCAGATTTCTTAACTTACTCCACTAAATCTTCTGGCCCAGTAATGAGCGTTTTCTACAGAAATATTTTTGCCTCATGACCTGGAGGACATATTTTTAATAGAAATTGAGGGTTATGACAGTCATGTTCCATACTTTACATTTCCATACAAACATAAAATGTAACCACTCAGCTGCTTGGAAATTGGTTTTAAAATAAATACGGCAAAATTGGGAAAGGTTTTCTTAAACAAATATAAGAAACGTTTGTAAGAAAAATGATGGTAGAATGCTTTCACAGTGAAGAATCTTTAAGTGCTTCGACTTTGCAAGGGTTTATAACTGAGAAAAACCGTCTGCTGTGATTTTATTTGATTTGGTTCATGGGCACCTCAAGGAACTGTAATTGTGTCAGTGACCTGCTCCAGCTGAAAAGTCTGTAACGCAGTAAGATTGATTAACTGCTGGCTGGAAAAAAATCTTGGTTTTCTGTTATTCTCTTGCTGCACTCTTAAATATTTTATGGCAACACAGACAAGTTTGTGTGAGGAATGTATGTTAAAATATTTCTGACATTGAATGTCAGAGCAAAAGTCATAAATAACTCTCCTTTTCATTTTCTTTAAATTACAGACATATGAGTCTCTGTCATAATTACATGTGCCAGTTGGAGATTTAAATGTGTTTCACTTTATGCACTTGAGTTATGAAATGAACATTAGTCTTTGAGGAGGTGGGCCAAACCTGACACTTCCTCATGTAGCACAGATATGGTTCGATTTATGCAGTCCTCCCTTCCTTCCAAATGGTTATTGATTACATAAATAAGTAGGTAATTTTTCTCTTTCAGAACTTTGCTGAAAACACTATGAATGAGCTCCTTGGCTGGTATGGTTATGATAAGGTAGAACTGAAAGATGGAGAAGATATTGAATTCAGGAACTACTCAGCAGATGGGGAAAGCCGCCAGCACATTTCCGTTCTCAAAGGTAACGAGACTTCATGTTTCTGTGTTCATGTAAAGAAGGATTAATAGCTCAAAGCTCAACCTGTCTGATTGGTGTTGATTGTGAAGCATGTTCTGCTGATTGTGTCTTGGTTGCTTTACATAAAAATACCTGAGAGTACCTTGCGGTATAGGGAAGCCCATAGGCTATGAGGAAAGTCACTTAACAAATGTGCTGTTGGTCTATTGATATATTGTTATCTATTGATATAAATCTTCACAAATAATGCCTTTCATGTGTCAGTTGAAAGCCATGTGCCTGTGATATCAATAAATTACTCACAACTGGAGAAAGGAAGGAGTACTTAGCAGGGTGGCCTTAAAGGACCTTTTTACTTCGATATTAAGCCTGGTTGGTCTACAGCTTTTTAAAATATTGTAAGATTTTAAACTGGAATAGTCACAAATGTAGGAACAAGTGTAAATGCTCACAAAAGGCTTCTCATCTATGTTTGTACTATACTGTCTTTTGCATTGTGGTAGAAATTTTCCATAGATGAAATTTGTTTGATACATTGCTGAATCTTTGTGATTCAAAATGTAAAGGGTGAGAGCCTTTTGGTTTGTTTGGTCATTCAGGTTTTGCCTTCTGACTTCTCAGTCTTAGGGAGTGGATAGGGGCTTATCATCAGAGTAAGGATAAAAGTAGAAAATTGCTGCATCTTATCCAACAGGAATTCCTCAAAGGTGAGGTAAAGAGAGGAGATTCCAGCAGCTTTTATCCACTTGGAGTGCTACTTTTCACTGTGTTCATGGGCAGCAATGTTTGGGTTTTCTTTCTGATAGCTAGCAGCAAAGCAGCACCATGTTCAGAGAGCGTTGCAATGAGTACTGACACCAGAGAGACCAGTGCTGAGGGACAGATGGCTAGAAATAAGGGGAAGAAATTAGAGGTAAGGTGAAACAACCTAACTGTGTTAAAATCGAATGTTTGCAGCTTGTTAGTACTATAACAACATTGGTGATCAATATTTATTTTTCATTGAAAAAGTAATGTAATTAAGCTACCTTTGAAGAAACTTGTGCCTGTGTAGTAATGCACTTAATTTATTTCTGTTTTAATAAATACATCTTTTACTGAATGATTACTGACTCCAGTCTAAGCTTGATGAAATTTGTGACGTACTTTTTTAATAGGCACACGATAGAATTCATATATTTTATGTACCGTAGATATTGAATGCCTGTGATAGGTAGAAATTTTTGGTGTATGCAGTTTTTGGGATGGGAAAAAAAGCACATTTCGTGTTCTGGGATATGGGAGAAGCAGGAGTCCCATGGCTGAGATATATTAGAGCAATTCCTAAAAATAAGAATCCTGAGGTGATTTGGGATTAAAGAATTAGAATAATAACTGCCATCATTTTGTGCACACTTTGCTGTGATTTCAATATTTTGTTCCTTTCTTTAAATTCCTTTCATTATTACTACTTGTATTATTTATAGAGAATAGGAATGATTTTATTCTTCAGTTTATGCTCATTGTACTGGTGATGTCACAGCACACTGTGACCACCATGCAAACAGTAGAAATTAAGTACAAGAATAGGATACCATTGACTATATCAGGCATACTAAGGCTCGCATGACAAAATAATCCCATCTTTTACCTTCTGCAAAAAGAAGGTAAGTGTGAGTTTGATTTTGAGAAAGAAAGTGTGAGTTTGATTTTGAAAAAAGAATGGAGCATTTCTGAAGATTACTGAAAAGTATCAATTTCTTTAAAAAGGGAAAATACCTGGATTTTTGTGCACTATTCTTGTATTGGGGTTAGTAATTTAATGAAGAGATTGCTGAAAGTATGTAGGGCCATTTAAGAAATTTGTGTCATACTGTACAATGTGTTCTTTGTGTTTTACAGAAAATTCTTTGCCAAAACCAAAATTACCTGAGGACAGTGTTATTTCACCGTACAATATAAACCCAAGCTACCCAGGGCTTGCCACAGGAAATGGACTATCAGACTCACCAGCAGGGTCGAAGGATCATGGGAATGTACCTATTATTGTCCCATTAATTCCACCACCTTTCATAAAGCCACCAGCAGGTAAATCCTAAAGAACATGTAAAAATGGTTATTGTTACTGACAATGTCCTGAGATCACTGGATCATGGTGTCTTAGCAAGAGGGCTGATTTCAAAATTATTAAAATCCAGTCACAGATTACTCTAAAAATGAGAGGGAGAGTGGCTTTAATCACTTTAGTATTCTTGAAAATCTCCTGCAAATGCAATGACAACAAACTTGCATTGCTTGTGATACTCCTTATGCTGGATTATGCTCTCAGCACTTCAACAGCATTAGCTTTTAGAAAAAATAATAAAGATTTTGTTCTGGTTAATAAAGCCTTTAACTAAATTAATGATAGATTATTAAATTAAAAATAGGCTGCATGAAAGAAACAGTGAAAGAGACAAAGCCATCAAATCAGTATCATGTCTTTATATCAGGTTAACAAGCTCATACTGGGAAAACTGTCTCTTGATTCCCATTGAAATCCCTGACCGCTGTCTCTCAATGGTTTAATATGATTTTGACTCTACCCAGGAGACTGCACTGAGACGTTTTACATTTTCATTAGATTTTTATCAGGAGTGGTTTTCTAACATGCCATTCCTCAGAGTTTGCATGAAATATGACTTATTCCACTCTGCATGCCTGCTTACTGTAATCTGTGGAAGTAGCTCTTACGGCTACACCAGGATGATTAATTGTTGTGTTATTGTTTACTGCTCCGCATGATGTGAAAATTGGTGCATCCAGCAGGATGAGTCCTGCTTCCGTGGACATCCCTAGGTGGTGTTGTGGTTGTTCTTGAGTGACCAAGGCACTGAGGAATACAAGGTGACATGCAACTCCTACCCAAGAACATCAGTTCTCCACACATGGGGCTAAAGACATGCCAGGGGGTGCCAGGGTGCCTCTGCAGAGGCAGAACTGCTTGTAGGATCAGATCCCAGGTCACATCTTCCCTTCATAACATTGTCTAAAGGTAGTTGTAAAATACCAATTAATCCCAGAAAGTGTTTGCCTATTCTTGGATGTGTAATAGACTACAGTTGCCCCTTCTAAATTATTGTTATGCCATTGAGTTTTAACTCTAAAGAAGTATGTAATATGCTATGAATAATTTTCAAATGTTACTCAATACGCGCTCCTTGCCAAAGACTTTCAATCTATTTTATACGATAGTTGCTAATTACCAAAGCTATTTGGGCCCATTCCTGCAGCCTTTACACAGCTAAAGATCTCAGGCCATATGGGCTGGATCCTCAGCTGTTGTTGATTTGGCCCTAAAGCTTTAATCAAGGGCTTGTGCCATCCCAAGCTATTTTCCCCTCCAATCTGAGTCACGAATGAATCCAGAATGCTGAATTTGTGGTATGTGAACACAAGGCTATAGCATGCATTGTGCAAATTGCCACAGTTGCTGGATTTTTATGACACCAAATAAGCAGGAGGAGATTGAACTATGAAGTACGAAAACAAATTACTGCAACAGTAGTTAAATGGACACAAGGGAATCTTGGCCAAGTCAACTGCCTTCTGTTCTTTGCCTGTCCACCTACAACATATGATCCTGTGTTCAAATGTACCCCTAAGGGTAATGTATAGAGAGGGCTTTTCATAAGTCTTTTCTACCTTTAGGTTTTTAATTAATTCATTAACAATGAATAATGTTGTTGTACCTGCATAGGAGATACGAATGTATAATCTCTGCCTTCTCTGACTTTTTCCCGTGATTGGTAATGAGCACTAGATTACGATGACTTCTGAGCAGATGAATGTTTTAGAGACCAAAGCTTGGGAGGTTTGGAGGGGGAGGAGAATCACCACCTTTGTGGGATTTGCAATAAGCATGGGTAGTAATGGTTTTGTTTTATCTTAGGGTGTAGATGCCCTAGCCATGATCACCCTGAAGAGCCTGGCAAGAAACAACTGGTAGGAAAGGGAGTACAAAGGCTCCAGGAGAGCCAGTGTGCGAGGCAGTGGTCTTGGCACTGCACTTTGACACCATTTTGTGGGCACTACATCAAAGCAGAAAACTTTAGAGTGATACAAGGCCAGACGAGTAACTCTGGGGATGTTTTCTTGGAGTCCCTCGCAAGCATAGGGAGGATGACTTTGGAAACAGCACAGAGGTGCTTCTTTGACTTGAGCAGGCAAGTGATTAGACTCACATAATTAATTAATAAGGTGAAGGTTGACATTTTCAGCATGGGGGACAGACAGGCTATGACTGATCTGCCACTACCACCAAAGTATTTATCCACGTTTGAGTGGATAAATGAAGTAAGGGGACAGGAGAGAGAGGCAGAGAGAGGTCAAGAGAAAGTTTCAAGTTAAAATGCTGGGCAGAAAAAGGGATCTTGGCAGCATGTTTTGTGTGGACACACAGAGGGCAAAGCTACATTACAGGCCAGTGAGAACACCAGGTAGCAATGCACTGTAGTGACTGTGAGGCTAAGAATTAGGATGTGTCCAGAATTTGTGAACAGTGAGAAAAGCTTTTAGATATCATACAGGAGAAAAATCTACAAGACTTCAATATAGCTCAAAAGGGAGTGGCCACAGGTGAAAATGATACCTAAATCATGAACCTGAAGGACGGGAAAAATGGTGCAGTCCATCCTTATTGAGCAAATAATATGGAGTGAGCACTCAGGGAGAAATTATTAAGACTTTAATTCTTGCTGTATTGATCTTGAACAGAAGGGTCAGCATGAGTAAAGAGGTGTCAGAGAGACAGGCTGAGGTATTCATTTGGACAGGAGTGTAATGGTCTGAAGAGGATAAGCAGATCCATTGAATTATTAGTTGAATAATTTTGCTGATAAGATTCAATACAGGTAAGAGGAACAAGAGCATGAGGGATGCTCACAGACCTGAAGAGAAATAAGAAGACATAGCAATTGCAGAGGTAGAAAAGACACAGGAAGCCGAGGGAAACAGGATTTCTAGGAAGGCAAGTATGATTCTTTATCAGAAACAGCTGTCAGCTCGAAAAAGAGCAGGAAGGAATGCTGATCCTGAACTGTCTAGGAAACTGTCATTGAAGATTTCAGCAGACTAGGTTTCCTTGAGCATGCTGGAAAGCTTTGAACAAGTGTCCTCCTTGCATCTGTATTTTGTATGACAAGGCTAAAACCTTGAAGAGTAAATAAAATGACCTTTTTTTCCCTCATGCCTATTTTGCAGTAAAGTGATTTTTGTTTTGGTGGAGTTTTTTTGTTTTGGTTTGGTTGTGGTTTTTTTTGGTTTTTTTTTTTTAATTTGAAAACCAAATAATTTTGCGCAATCTGGCTAAGATTTTATCTTCAAGCTGTTCAGATTTCTGTTTTAATCAAATGAAATGTTAGGTTCCAATTTGCTTATATGATTCTGGAAAACATTAGGGTTCTACTAACCAAATAGAAACAGCTCCAGTAAAAGCACTCTCTCCTTGCTGTACCTCATAATTAAACCCCCAAAAGGTTGAGTTAAATGCATGAGCCCTATGTGGTGCACTGAGTATCTACAGACTCAGGTTATGGTGTGTCAGTGGAGGATGCTAAATCCAGTCATGGGAAGTGTCCACCGGGAGAATGCAAGTTACTTAGATGTGGAGGCTATCTGCAAGAGCACTCCCTGATCTGCAGCACCAGGCAGATAGACCACACTGCATCAGTGCCCAAATGAAACATTACTATATAAGTCAGCATCAGCCATCCAGCCTGCTTCTAGAAGCATATAAGTAGTCAATGCAGCCTCCAAAGAGTTGCTGTAAAGAGTCTCTGTGTGGCTAGTAAGAGTCCATCTTGCCCAGCCAGCTGGCGACTACATTTAGACTTCACTGCAGATTCTGAGTGATCCTCAGGGTTAGTCTTGAGTACAGCCTACTGCAACAAAGTGATCCTAAGATTAGTTCTGCTTGCTGTTAGAAGGTTCTTATTTTCTGCACAGCAATTTTAAGAAGGATGGTGGGGTTTTTTAAATTTGCTTGTTTGGTTGGTTTTTTTTCCTAATTTAAGATATGCATAGAAATAGCAAGGAATAGAAATGCAATAGCCTGGAATGACCCAGAACTAAAAATCTCACCACAGCTGTGTGAGGTATATGGCCTTAGTATGTAGCATGCAAACCTTCTGTTATTCTGCAGCCTTTAATGATAGAGTAAATTTGAAAGAGCACTTAGGGTGACTCTGCCCTTTTGCTCAGGCAAGTTTGGACAGCTCTTGTTACCTGGGATGAAGGAAGGCTGAAATCAAGAGTAGTCAAAGAAGAATGCAAAAAATTCTTTCAATGCAGGTGAGAACAAGCTGCCTCCTTCCCCTGGCACCTGCTGGAGGCTATGGTGTCTCAGTTTCCCCATTTCTTTGATGCTCTTTGATTTGTTTTATCTTGTGATCCCCATGGCAGTGCCTTGGTAGGGTGGTACAGCTGCTGGTTGGTTTGTTCTTTGAGCATGAGGGTTGACAAAGTCCTTCCCTTTCCTGCCTCCTTCTGTGTACAAGGGATGCATGGAGTGTGCCAGCTGCTCTGAGCATCCCAAACAAGAACAGGCTTCCTGCGTTGCTGTGCTGCGAGGGGAGGTCACTGCCAAGGGACACAGTAGAAGGGGAGGTAGAAAGCATATGTCATGCAGTTGACTGAGCTGTCCACAGAGAAATAAAGTACAAGGGAAAAATAATGCTCCCTCCCAAGGTTTTCAAAAGATACCGAATACATTTGGAGAAGGAAAGGGGATGCAAATCCTACAACCCACAGATGAGTGTCTCAACATAATATTAGGTTCCAAATGATGGCTGGAGTTGTACCGGAAGTTATCAGAAACTTGTGAAGGTGAAGGAGGACTAGGCTGGAGGAATCTGATGAGGCAAAATGTCTTAAAGGAGAAGCATTTCCAGTGCTGACTTGTCAAATCAGCCTGTGACCTAGGCTGGCAAAGAAATATCAGATTCAAATACTAAAGTAAGTATTTAGTTATTTTATAGAAAGAAATCAGTGATTTTCTGTGTTATGGTTTAGCTTCGCTTTAGAATTATAAGTTTAGAAGTTTATAGGAG